AAAAAAAAAAAAAAAAAACCAAAGAGGCAGACAGCTGTAGATAGCTAACATCTTAAACAGCAATGCCTTCTATTAAGTTTCGGATCAGCATATTCATCCTCGCATGCTACTCAGCCAATCAAAGGTATTCAGCAATTCAAATTTGAACCCCAAAGAACTAGGAAGGGCTGGGTCCAAGTCACCCAATCGCTCTAAGCTCGTATTATCTGTTGGCGAAGCGTTCAGGTGCTCATCAAGCACCCGCTGGATAATGGTCTCGCAATCACCGCAAACAACCCTGTTTGGTGAGCCAGGCCCAACCCAGTTGAGGAACGCAACAAGCATGCTTAGTTGCTGTACAATGGTTGAGCGTGATAAAGCAGGGTTCAAAGGATGAACACCGAAGAATGTTGGTTGAAGTAACTCTTGGCATAGAATGCCACCGCCGGGAGCTGCATAGGCTACCAACTGTTCATACCCAGTCAGACAGATTCTTCACGGTAGAAGTTCTAGATATATACCAGCCATTCGAAATTGCGTCTCATAGAGGCAAATCGATTCTTGTGTATCCAAAGCACGACCGTGACTTTGACTAAATCAAAACTAGTTGTCAGCAAGGAGCCATCGTCAACCGCCCCATGCTGAAGCAATAGCCGTTCGAGCACGAAGATATCCCTCATATGGCTTAGATAGAGCAATATTCTCAGGTAAAGGACATTTATATCAAGATCAGGATCATCAAGGTCTTGGTACTTGAAAATCAAATGCGCTGGTTGTTCGAAGAACATCCGGCTCACCCGAGTTTTGATGTCTCTGTGTCGTCTTAGCATATCGACATAGCCCTCGTTTAACTTTCCACTTACTCAATATAATCGAGCGAAACATTGGCTTCATTACCAAGTGCAATCTCTACTACTTCGTCAAAGAGATAGGACCTCAAGAATCGGGATCGGATGTAACTATTAGCATGGATCTCGCCCTTAGTATTCCAGCCGCTCTGATCCAAAGTCATACATTCTTCGATCATTGTTTCTTTTGATGTCAAGCAACTATCAGACAAGTCTAGAGGCGCCCGGGATGAGCAATAGCGGCGGCTAAGGAGTGGAGGTCTGCCAGTAAACGTAACCATAGATTTGTCGTTCGCAAAGATGTAACAGTATATAAACCGTCTATTCTCGACACAGAATGAGGGCTTCTCGGATTTTGCTTGAGATTTAGAAGTTTCTCCTGGAGCATGGAGACCGAGGAAGAGCAGCATTGAAATACACAAGCTATGTGCGTTCCAGTATACCGGACTGGCATCGCCATAGACTAAAGTCGCAAGAGCAGCATGTCGACGACAAAGATCGAGAAGCATATCGTTTCCGGCCGTGAATTGGCGTGTGATCTCAATGCAATAGTGTAAATGTTCATGCGAGACCAAGGAAGACTGCTTGCCCTCTACCCATTGAAGCTGGCGATACTTTAGTGTTGATAAAGCATCCGACAGTCCCTCAACATGTGCCCACAAGAGACCTATTGATTCCCATCGGATATTTGATCCACAGAACTGAGCTATCCAGTCATCAAAATTGTCAAATGTATCTTGTATTGGCTGAGCAGTATTTCGACATAGAAAATCGGCGACTTTCTCGTTAAAGGAGTCGCTTCCTTCAAAATACCCAAAGAGCTGCCGCAGGGATGTGATGATCCGTGATACAGCTACATGAGACCAAGAAGTTGTAGTTTCCGGACCTGGTTCGTCATGGAAAATCATATGCGCCTCTGGCCGCCCCGGAAGGTATTGCAGAACAACGAGGCACATCTGCTGCGTTGGTAATGGCAGCTTCCGTAGACATACATCCTCGCCCCCAGGACTTGGCGTATCAGTGCCAATGAAGTCTGGACTTGTTGCTGGAACAGATAAACTCGCACGGGCACCCTGGAAAGCAGAGTTGTAGCTCGTGAAGCCAAGATACCCAGGACTGAAAGCATAGTCACGTACCATGGGAGTAGTTGACTGTGGTGTTCGTAGTCCTGAATCTGATGGGCTCAGTAGTCTTGGACTTGTTTGATTTGTTGGCGTGACTCTAATTCTTGATGTTGATGTTGTGTATACACAAGTCTCTCCCCTCTTTTGACATCTCCTGCAATTGGGCCGTCTATGATCGCATGCAACCTTTCGCGACCGGCATTGATCGCAAGCTTCTGGACGCCCATTCGGACGCCTAGGCGATTTTGTGTAAGCATTGCTCATGATATTAGTGGTGTGAATTTCTGATGAAGTTGATCTGTTTTGAGAGATATAATGAGAAGCAAAGGCCAGCAACACTTAGGGAGACGAAACTCGAAGTTACTGGAAGAATTGGATGATTCAAGAGCGAATATAGTGAACTTAGTGCGGTTCAAGTTGAAGAATTACAAATGAGAGCTTGGTGGTCCAACCCGATTCAGGTCAACATCGGCACGCTCGGCTTCGGCTTCGGCTTCGGCTTGCCATGACACCGACCTCGCCTTGTACCTTTTGATAAAACCACGAACAAGAAGCACGACATTTATCAATCGGACAGAGAATTCTTTTTTGGTAAAATGACCGCTCTGAGATTTCCACGACTACTGGTGTTTGAGTAGGAGCCATAGTTGTGGGTTTCAATCGATGAAAAGGAGCCATTTGATATCCATACCAATTTGTAACATAAGAGCTAGGTTGGCTGTAGGCCTAGATGGATGTCAGTACATATCCATCGTACAGAGAAGACAGAGAGGAAGGAACTAACGACCTGGAACAATTGAGAGGTTGATTCGTCGATGATATTCATAAGCTTCTTTTCGATAGCTTATACCGTTGAGCTGAAGTTTCTCAGGAGCCTGTAAAGATACGAAGCAGAGCTGGACCGATTAAAGCACAATGAAAGCCAAACAATCATTGCAACCACAGCTATTGACAGTTATAAGTCGGCGGACATGATCATGATATCCAGATCGTCACATGTTTATTAGTGCAGATTATGAGTTAAGTAGCCGTCAGGGTGTCAGAAGAAGGAACGCTAAGAGCATAAGAGACGAAATCATTTGGCTATTTCACAAGAGCTCAGACCAGCTCTTAGTTGACTTTATTTTGACGTCCTAAGTCTTAGAAGACTTTTTCTGTTACATACAGTACCTAGGTACTAAAGTTATGGAGAACCTGGGCACCCACTCTGAACCTTGCAGAGTAGCGCGTCGAGTTGCAGGCGGGGCATTTTTTTTTCTAGCCCATACCTGCAAGGGCCGAATTTTTTGTCGCATCTGGATGTTTAATCATCTCAAACACATTGCGACTATGGGTAAAAAGAGCTTCAGAGTACGCCATTATACCACCAAAATGCCCCAATTGATACATATATACTAACATTGACTGCAGGGAAAGGGCAAGAGAGGTGGCGGTGGTGGCCGAGGTGGTGCAAGAGACTCGGGTGGTTGGAGAGACTATCCTGCTATCCCTAAGGAAAACGAGAAACTGCAACGCTTCTACGATACCCTCCTACAGCTGCCCGAGGAGGAAAAGAACGCCTATTGGGAGGCTTTGAGACGCGAGTTGCCCAACAGCTTCAGATTCTGTGGCTCGAAGGGGTACGTAATCGCAATCGCGACGCGAAAATCGAGTCTTTGCTAACTTTTGCGCCTAGTCACGCTCTTACTGTCAAGAGCCTTCTACAGACTCGTTACATCCCAGAGATCGTCAAAATCGAGCACCAGGATGGCCGACCCGTCGAACCTCCTCAGCCTGTGCCCTGGTACCCCGACGACCTAGCCTGGTGGATGACTACCCCCAAGAACGTCGTCCGCAAGTTCCCTCCCTTCGCCGCATTCCAGAAGTTCCTGGTCTCCGAGACGAGCGTTGGAAACATTAGCCGACAGGAGGTTGTCAGCATGATCCCCCCTATGCTGATGGATCTCCGACCCGGTATGACCGTCCTTGACATGTGCGCTGCGCCTGGAAGCAAGGCTGCACAACTGCTTGAGATGATCCACCAGGGTGAGGAAGCCCGCGTCCGCAAGGTTCTCCGATCTTACGCCCAGGAGGATGGTCTGGATCTAGGTGCCGAGACCAAGGAGGAGATGGAGGCCGATCTCGAAGCCGACCCGAGCGACGCTGGACGAGCCACTGGTATGCTCGTCGCCAACGACTCCGATTACAAGCGCGGACACATGCTTGTTCACCAGCTCAAGCGACTTTCTTCCCCGAACCTTCTCGTTACGAACCACGATGCCACCCAGTTCCCATCTATCAGACTCCCCGGCAAGGATGGCCAGAAGCCTACCTACCTCAAGTTTGACCGCATCCTGGCTGATGTGCCTTGCTCCGGTGACGGAACTCTGCGAAAGAATCCAACCATCTGGAAGGATTGGCAGCCCGGTAGCGCCCTTGGTCTGCATCTGACACAGATTAGAATCCTTGTCCGTGCTCTGCAGCTGCTCAAGGTTGGTGGCCGAGTCGTCTTCTCTACTTGCAGTATGAACCCTGTCGAGAACGAGTCCGTTGTTGTGTCTGCCATTGAGCGATGTGGTGGCCCCGAGAATGTTGAGATTGTCGACTGCAGTACCGAGCTCCCTAACCTCAAGCGAGCTCCTGGAATGAAGGACTGGAAGATCATGGATAAGAGCGCCAGGATCTGGAGCTCCTGGAAGGAGGTCGAGGACTTTGCTAAGGAGAACGCCGAGGGCGTCATTCCCGGCCGAGTTGTTGAGACCATGTTCCCTAGACTTGAGGGCTCTGATTGTGCCGATCTGCCCCTCGAGCGCTGCATGCGAGTCTACCCTCACATGCAGGATACTGGTGGTTTCTTTATCACAGTCCTTGAGAAGAAGTCTGAGTTCAAGGCCAGGAACGAGAAGGAAGGCAAGGAGGTTAAGCAGGAGCCTGCTAAGACTGAGACCCCTGCTGAGGCTGCCCCCAGCGAGAAGGAGGTCGAGGTGAAGACCGAGGTCGCACCCGTTGCGGCTGAAGAGAAGCAAGAGGATGTTGTTATGGACGACGCTTCTTCTAATGGAAAGCGTCCTCTCGAGACCGAGGAAGCTCAAGACCAGCCTGCCAAGAAGATCAAGACTGATTCTACTGAGCCTTCAGCCGCCGCGACTCCCGTTGCCGCTGCCGTGAGCCAGGAAGCCACCAAGCCTCGCCGAAACGGCCCTGTTGAGGAGGCTTTCAAGTACCTCGACGTCGGCCACCCCACCGTTGAGAATATCAAGGAGTTCTATCACATCTCTAAGCGATTCCCCGACGACCGATACATGGTGCGAAATGAGATGGGTGAACCTGCTAAGGCCATCTACTACACTAGTGCCCTTCTCCGCGATATCCTTATCGAGAACGAAGGTCGCGGTATCAAGTTCATCCACGGCGGTGTCCGTATGTACATGAAGCAGGATGCTCCTTCAGCTGATGTCTGCAGGTGGCGTATCCAAGCCGAGGGTATGCCCATCCTACAGGGTTACGTCGGTGAGCCTCGCGTTGTCCACCTTCACAACAAGGAGACATTCCGCAAGCTTCTCATCGAGATGTTTCCTCGCATCAACGAAGGAAAGTACGAGCGCTTCGACGAAATTGGCGAGCGCGTTCGCGATATGGGTATGGGTTGCGCTGTTCTGCGCGTTGAGCCTGACGGCACAGACCCTGACTTCAGGGAACGCATGGCTCTGCCTCTTTGGAAGAGCATCCACTCGCTCAACCTTATGCTTCCCAAGGAGGACCGATCCGCTATGTTGCTACGCATCTTCAACGATACATCTCCTTTAATCAACATTGCTGCGCAAAAGAACCAGCAAAAGCCTGCCGAAGAGGTCAAGGAAGAGGTTGATGTCGCCGATTTGCCGTCACCCGAGGAGCCTGCCGATGTGGGAGTCGTGACAGAGTCTGCGACAGAACCTGCCAAGAAGGCAGAGGCAAAGGCAGAGGAAGAAACTGAGGCTTAATGGATGTTTCAATATGTAAAATTGCTTGATGTTAGTTCGGTGTTATTTACAGATTTCAATCATGACAACGATGAATGTGTCGATACAAATGATAATACTCCACCACAGAGCATAAGAGACGAAATAATTTGTGCACCTTATCTTAGGTTAGAGTAGCACTTAGGATACTTTATTGTGATATCCTAAGTCTCTGATGATACCTTTCCTGTCACGTACGTACATATGCCTCATCTTATAAGATGACTTAGTGTTTTTGCCCAAGGAAAGATGTTCTTAAATGACCCATCTGTCAGAGAAAGTCCAGGCAAGTCTCGTAAAGATGGAATTACATATAGTTAGAAAATACAAAGCCTCCCTCCGTTTTGACTAGGCCTTATTGACGTACATGAATTCTATTGTTACATCTGGCACTTGGCCATAAGGTGTCTTTGACACACATGCTCTACTCGTCTAGTAATCCTACAGTCCAGTGTACAATCCTATCAACGCCCTGGCCATTGATCGCGCTCACGGGGATGACGGCACAGTCCTTGGTCCAAGCATCCTCGACACCACTCGGGTGTGGCTTCTCGCCCTTTGTGATGTCGTCAAGGTATTTCTTGAGCTCTTTGAAATTCTCCTGCGTCTCTGGCAAGTCGGCCTTTGTGGCGACAACGAACCAGGGTTTTCCAGCAATCTGCAACCCCTGGTTTGGCTTTGATTTTTGGTCAACTTCAGGCTCAGGAGAATAATTCATAGGGCCACTCAGATCTGATGTGATATCCCAATCAATGTTGGAATCGATTGCTCGATCGGCCTCTTCCTCGTCACGCATCTGAGCATATAGTCCGACCTCGCGCCAGAGTGAGTCGAGCGCCTTCACAGCATCACCAGCGGATAAGTCAATGACAAAAGCGAGGACACCAGCACGCTCGACGTGTCGCAGGAAAGCAATACCAAGACCACGGTCAAGATGCGCTCCCTCAATCAGACCGGGAATATCAGCGATGGTGAAGCGAGTGCGCGGCTCAGTTTCAACCTCCTCTGGCAGACCCAGCTGAGCAGGATAGCGTCGATAGCTCTTGATTGTAGGCCGGCCAGAGTACTTGTCGAGAACAACCGTACCAATGTTAGGCTGAAGCGTTGTAAAAGCCCAGTTGCCTACTCGAGTGCGGCTGTTTGTGATGGCACGAAGCAGAGTACTCTTTCCGGCATTGGGAAGACCAACGAGACCAACATCAGCAAGCAGCTTAAGTTCGAGCTCAATTTTCATGGTAACGGCCTCTTCACCTTTGGTTGCAAACATTGGGCGGGGATGCGCTCGTGAGGTGAAGTGAGGGTTGCCCAAGCCACCAATGCCACCTGTCGCAAGGAGGATCGGCGTGGGGGTAGGTCGAGATAGATCTAGATTGATAGTGGGAGGTGGTTGCTTGAGTAGTCGAGTACGCTTTGGCAATTTCGGGAACACAGTATTTTTGACATCAGTCTTGGACAATCCGGGGTACAGAAGCCACTTGCGACGCTCAGGGTCCTGGTTCTCTTCATCTTCCTCCTCCTCTTCAAGCTCCTGCTCTTCCTCCTCGTAGATCTCTTCGTCATTTTCCTGCCTCCGCTTCCTTTCTATAGCGGCTTGATGCTCCTCACGTCTTTTTTGCTTCTGCTGAGCGTTCCATAACCGCAAGTCCATCTCCTCGTCAGCAGCTGGATCCTCGCGTTCCAGTTCACGGATGACTGTCCCCACGGGTACAGTTATGATGATATCGTCTCCTCGTGTTCCACTTTTTGCGCTTCCCTGACCATGCTTTCCGCGGCCAGCTCGCACAAACCGTTTGCGAGCTAACTTGTGTAACGATGTCTCTCCATGCGCTGCTTGAATATAGACGTTGCCGCCATGGCCACCGTCGCCGCCATTGGGGGGGCCCTCAGCTAAATAAGCTTCACGCAAGAAGGAGATACACCCATTTCCACCGCGGCCAGCATACAAGGTCAGGAAAGCTTTGTCGGAGAAGCTTGGGGAGGCATAGTCGTCAGGAGCGGGGTTCAGTCGTGATTCTGGAAGATCGTTTATGGTGGAGTGGTATCGACGTCGTAGAGCTGATGCGCCAGACAATGTGTGCCTTGATAGGAAGACTGATGGGTATAGAAATGGGAGGAAAGTGGAAGATACGGTCGGGCACCGCGGAGCCATGATCGAGGAATTGAGCGAACTTCTGTCGCAAGTTCGATGTTGAATAGTCGAGCGGTCCAAGCACTAATACATCGATGATGTTTAGCTGCCGAAATTTGCCAGGCCTACCATGCTGATAAGATAAGAACCTACTGGGTTGAATGTAAGTCGGAGGTCGGGTTTCCATCTCTAGAACAGACCTGTGTATGGAAATGAGACGATGGATTGTATTAGTTAGCTGATCGTAGATTGTTTAAACTCTTGGATAATAAGTAACTCCCTTTGAGACTTTGAATTGAAATCAAAGAAATTAACAAACATGACGGCTCTGCACCTATCACTGCAAACATCACCCGGGCAGTAATTGACACGCCCTTCTTTGTCGACCAGACAGAATATTTGTATGAATTCGACTGCAACTTTTAGGTAAGTCCTACTTTAAACAAATCTTCCGCACCTTCCAAATCTCTTATTATGAGAAGGTGGTGTTTGTACAAGTCCAAAAAAGGAAAGAGTACTTCAGTAAAAAGTGGCAGCAACTGCCCTCCAGAAGTTCCAGGTTGTTTCGCATCCATGCCTCAGGTCTCAGCTAGGACTAAATGAACAAGGCAGGCAGTGCAACGAGGCAGCCTGATCTGAATCTCATCTCTTCTCTTGCAACTTCATTTTCAATCAAACATGACACCTGGACCATCACAGATGTGTTTGTACTGTGCCAACTGTCCCCGTCCGATATGTTGCAGCTGATCGCCACTAACCGACGCATCTCACTCACGGACCTCAACGGCGCTGTCCAGTACTGTACAGCAGCCATACATACAAACAAACACAACCATGCTTTCAGACGTGTTTCGAACCGTTGATCCGACCGTTGAATCCATGCATATTATGGGGAAACCCAGGACGAACGTCTAAATACATACCTGCTAGCGATTCTTCGACGACACTTCCCTAACCCATTCGTCTCGTCTCGTCTCGATCCGACGGCATCATGCAGCTCACCCGGAATGGTCCATGGCGGGTGTTCGTTGTCATTCGACAGGCATGGAGCTAGCCCCAGCTTCCCGAGCTTAACAAGAGACGCTTGCGGATGCCAAAATGCGGTGAATCAGTGTTGCAGCAGTGGATAAAGCGACAACAGAGCCTCTTGTGCTGCGCCCGTAAGCTTTTCTAGTGCTCTGATGCCTCTGTCGTCTTTGCATTGCCTTGCTGCTCACTGCTGGGGCTCACGTTACGATCGTCCCTAGCCTCTACTCGTCGATCCTCGGTAGTGACATTCTTTCTGGCTTACCACTCCTAGCCCAATCGAGTGCCCATTTGTCACTTTCGATATCATTTCCATTCTTCCAAGTTCGCCGGTCGATCCAGCTCCGTTCGCCTCTGCTACACAACACCTCTCGTCAAGTCTTGGGGGGGACTACGACTCTGTCTAGATCAACTTTCATCTTCAATTTCTATTGCAAGTGTCCCACTCACCCCTCCATTTTGTGGTGCTACTGTCCGTCAACACCACCCTTCCCAACTCCAGTACATGAGCCGCACAATCGCTCAACGACGGTTCGTTGCAGTCGACCCCTCCCTGGTACCAGTTCGAAGCCATTGGGCCAGCCTGCATACGATCCGTGGTCCCGCATTCGAGCCACGACTGTAGACGTGGACCGCCTGTTCTCATTCGATCTCTCCACATCGCTACCTTCCCCACGCGACTTCTTTCATCTCGCTCGCTCTTCAGTTTCTCCCTCGGCCTCCATTCCAGCTTGAGCCCGAGAGCTGCTGCTGCTTGCAGGACACATACAGCTCCAGCGAAACAGGTGCTTGGTCTCCCTTCCCCAAGCTGATGCTCGACGGACAAACCATACCATTTTGCAACCCGGTGTCGTTATCTCTTACCGCCACGGCTGTCAATCGACTTTAACACGGCTTTTGCCTTTTAGTCACAGTAGGTCCGTTTTAACCTTCTTCTGACATCTCTGTCCTCGCATCTGCCACTTTTACCTACCCATCCATTGTTTGCTTTTGCCATTGCTGGTCTCTTTCCCTACGCACGCACAGCTTTATGAAGGTCGTCTGCGGGGTTGGAGGGGGATCTCACGTTGTTGTCATGAGTTGACCGTAGATGAATATTGTTTTACCTGCCCTTCTCTCGCACTGCGGCTGCCACTTCAACCTTGTGTAATCCAATTCGCCTGATACCTCAGCTAAGATGTTTTCCAGAAGATATTCACATCCTGGCAAGGCTGTCATCAGGATGGATCCTGATTGCGCGATATGCCATGCTCCAGCCAATATGGCATGTGAGTGTGAGGCCAAGGGCCTCGATGTTGCTGTCAAACAAGCCGAGGACCGTATGATGCGGTCCATATATACTGAAATACGGTACATAGCTCTCCCTACTCGAAACGCGCCGAGAGAGGTCTAACTCAATCGCCTATAGTTCTTGGGTGCGAGGTCATGCGCAAGACTACATACTTGAATACTTCCGCCTTCTTACCGATCAACGAAAAACCGCCCATGCTGCGCATATGGATCGAATCAACGCCCACGCCTATCATTATTATCATGCCCCGCCTCATCCGACGCAAGTTGCTGAAGCGCAAGCCTCATTGAAGCGCGGGATTGATGAAGATTGGCAGGCGAGCGTACAGCGCTATCCGGAAGTACTTGAATATTTCTTTGGACTTGTTGAGCTTACACTGCCGGCGGAGGACGAACCGGCCGTCAAGGATCCGCCGCTGGGCCAGTTATCGAGTTCTCGAAAAGTAAACCGCCGAAACAGTAATAATCCTCCTGGCGTCGCTGGCGCAGTTGTACCTCCAGGATATCGCGACCCAGGCCTGATGCATCAGGAGCCTCCTCCCCCTATGCCGACCCGAACAAGCCGAACTCCTGGGCCTGGAGGAATGAGACGACCTAACTACGGTGCACCACCGCCAATGCCCGGCGGTTACAACTATCCTCCCCCTCCTCCACCGTACTAAATGTCTACCAATTGTCGATACGATAATGAGACATGCATAGGTGCTGAAGATACTACAAAAATCATATTACGATTACGAACATCACGACCATCACATGCATAGGGCGTGGAGTATTCATGGCGGGTTTGAAACCTGGACTGACGATGTCATTTGTCTTCGAGTAGAAACTTTTCCTGGCTTGAATTTTTGTTTTGGAGTATTTGGGGTTACAAAGTTGGGCATTGTTGTTTGTGTATCTGAGATTACAAAATACCACGCCACTGAAGGCAAAATTATGAACAAGACCTAATAACTCTTTTAGTACAAGCATGTGTGCTGGTGAGCCGAATTGTTCACAGCCGACCATGATGGACTGCGGGCAATTGTTGGAAAGAGGGGCAAGCATTCCAAGACAGCTGAGTTATGGCGATAGGCCAAAGAACGGGGGCTAATGCCGGTGAACTCATCGTCTGCTGCAGTAAGACGATATGCAGTCTACAAACTTCCAACTGTAACTTGGTCTGCCACTAACAGATGCATGAGGGAAGCAGGGAGAAGAGAAAGGCAGCAAAGCCAATAAGCCGACAAGGCACAGCAGCGCAAATGCCCGATGCGTGCCCAACTCAATTACAATGCAAGCTTAGCTTCTCATGACTTCAACAATCTATGCACCCACGAGCGGTAATAAGCAAAGTCAACTGATCCAACCCTGGGGTTAAGATCTGCAAGCAACCCGATAACCGAGAGTCATGTCACGCAACTAATAATAAACAATGCAACGAATGTCATCACCGAATTGAACCAACTTTTTGTCATTTCCTTGCGCATATCTATCAAGAAATAGCGCCTAATTACAAAAGAGCACGAGAAAGCGCTTTTTAGATTCGAACATGATGTTTAGAAAAGGGGGAGAAAAGGTGAGCATTGCGCAATGAAGTTGGTGGGCCGGACAACTTTTGAACAACGTTTGACACAAGCACAACGTTTGGTTCAACATATCAAGTGCGAGCGCCAAGAGAGATTCGATAGATCGTGAGTAATGTTAAGTGAGAGAGCGCATGGATGTGTGTTAAGGGCCCGGTATCGACGGAATGGGGGTTAACCGACGAGCAATCATTGGAGTCGAGGCTCAGGTTTATGACTCTTGCTTGTCAGCAATAGAAGTCTCCTTCAGGTCAGCGGTAGCCTGCTCGACCTTGTCTCCGTTAGCCTCAGCGGCCTCGAGCTCAGCGATCTCCTTCTTGGCCTTCTCGATGTTCTGAAACCATGGTTAGCATGATACTCCCACAGGAGCTTCTGAGATGAAAACTTACACGCTGGGTCTGGGTCTCCTGGTCGTTCTTCCAGAAGTCAAGCTTGGCGCGGACCTTCTCAGCGACAGCAGGGATATCGGCAGAGCTCATAGGGGGGTCAATGCCCATGGCAGCACAGTCCTCGACGACAGCGGGGGGAACGTTGAACTTGCTGGATGAACCACCGGCACCACCCTTCTTGCCCTTCTTACCCTTCTTGACAGCAGGAGCGTACTCCTCGTCACGATCCTCCTTGCGGAGAAGCTTGGTGCCCTTGAGAGCAGAATCGTCAACACTTCGCTGAGCTTGAGCACCAAGTCCAGTGTCGGCCATGAGAGGACCCTTCTCGACCTTGTGGTTAGGGTCGAGGAACTGGAGCAGACTGTTGGCACGGCGGATCTCATCAAGGTAAGCAGGGTCGCTGGCCTCAGCAAGGCGGCGCTCGGCCTCAGCCTTCTTGCGCTCCTGGTGGTAGCGCTCCTGCTCTGCCCTTTGCTTCTCACGGCGAGCCTCACGTGCCTCACGGTCGTAGGCCTGGTAAGCCTTCTTTTGTCCGTAGTAGTCATCCTTGAGCTTGCGAATAGCGGTGTACTTCTCCTGCTGCTCGGCTTGCAGCTTGGATCGCTCGTCACGAAGGCTGGAGAGGCTCTTGTAGGCCTCATCCTGCTCAGCCTTGATGGTGTCGATCTCGGCCTGGATCTTGTTGTACTGATCAGACAAAGCACGCTGCTCGGGGTCGTCCATGCTGTCCTTGATCTCCTTGATCTTGGCGCGGAGGTCATCGATCTGCTTCTGAGAATCCTCGAGCTGACCGAAGTTCTTGCGCATCTTGCGGAGGTTAGAGATGTCCGAAAGGGCCTTCTTCTCATCGACGAGCTTCATGGTACCGGAGTTGACCTGCTTGTCGAGAGTAGTAATTTGGCGGTCGAGTTCCTCGAGGCTCTTGTAAGGGACCTTGGCCTTGGCCGCCTTCTGCTCGTTGATTCGGCTTCGGACTTGCTCATCGAGACGCTTGATCTGATCGAGCTTACCAGTGCGGGCGTTCTTTCCGCCAGCCTGCTTCTGTCGAATCTCGTTGGCCTGGGCGATGAGCTCTTGTCGTCGCTGTTGGGTAGGGCTGGGCTGGTCCTTGTTCTTGTTGGGCATAGCGATATCAATCTTAGCCTTCACAGCGGCCTAGAGACAAACCATAGTTAGCCAATGTCAACCCCTTATGGCTCAACTTTACACAAGGCCACATGTGTGGGACCTATGTCGATAGCCGAGCCATATCTCACACCATTGGAGAGGAATTGAAGTCATACCAGACGGTCCATTGAAGCCTTGTGCTCCTTCTCGGCCTTGGCGAGCTCCTTCTTGAAGACCTCCTCGTCAGGCTTCGTAGGTCGGACATGAGCTTGCTTGTTCTCCGCCGCAGGGGCGGCGGGAGTAGTTGCGGTTTCAGCCATTATGATGAGGGGAGAGAACAGGACAGAGACGAGGCGAACAAGATATTAAGAACCAAGAGCGAGAATGCTCGAGGAAGAGTAGAAGTGAGGATAGGACGACACGTGGAGATCAAGTGGGAAGGGTTTAAAAAAAGAGGAGAGGAAAAAGGAAATGGAAGGTCCAACTGCACAGCACATAAAAAAATAGCTAAGTTTCGCAGTACGGTAGGTACAGTAGGTGTGCAACGCAGTGCAGTGCAGCCAGCTTGCAGTAATTCCACCACCTGCCCCTACGAAGGTTCTGGACCCGTGTCTCTCCTGCTCTGATTTGCAACCTGCTCTTCCCCGTTGGGGCCCGTGCACCCTCGACTGAGCTGTCTTTCCTTCATTACAATTGTCGGGTTGCTCTTTCTCGGGGTGCCCCTCCCTTGGATTCGGGTCCATCCTTCCCCTAGCGTTCGCTGAAAGAGGGAGCGAGCCTCGAGGCCACCTATGGACCGCCTGAAGTCGAAGGGTCCGGCGCCTCCAAGCACTGGCGCCAGGGGTAGCATTCCTGCCCCACCTTGATCAACCTCGAGCTCCATTGTGGCTAGGGACAGCTCTATGTGGCTATAAATGTGGCGTCTAGTCAGTCACATGACCCTATCAGCGCTCTGACCCGCTCAAAGAAGTTTGGACTTTTGCGGCGACGATGCAAGGCTGCGAAAGAAACATTTTTGACGACGCCTGCGACCACGACCATCTTTTCGCCCATATCAGTCCCACCACCAGCATCACGAATCGGATCGCCCTTTTAATCTATAATCGACATGGATATCGATCACGTTCCCACAGACGCCAAGTCAAAGGAGGTTGTCCGACTTTGGCGGGCATGGAGAACCGTCCATGAGATGGTCGCGGACCGAGTATGTTTGTCTTAAAAGTCTTATGGTAGACTACAAGTAGAATCGCGCAACCCGCCCAGTCGCGCAGCTCTGCTATACATCTGCGCTTCATCAAACTAACTTTATCAAGGAATACGAGCTTGCTGAGGAGGAAGTCAAGATCTCTCTCGACCGCTTCCGCGACGAGTACTGCAACCCCGACGGATCCATCAAGTAAGCGACCAAGCTCGTGGCCTTGAACAAAGAAATCATGCAACTAACAGCATCGACTACAGCCGCGCCAAACTCCAATTCTCGGCGCGTCCCAGCACAAACATGATTCGCAAGTTTACACCACCTGTGACAGCTGCGAACCCCGATCCCGTCGCCGACTGTGGTCCTATCTGGGTTGAGTTCCTCGCAGATAAGACCTTCGGTGTCAGCCAGATTCGACAATTCGCCTCATACGTGATCTCAAACAACTACAAGACCGGCATTATGGTGACACACGTCCCTCTCTCGCCCGCCGCCCGCAAGTCGCTCGCTAGTGTCGAATCACTTGCAAAGATTGAGTGCTTCCTCGAGGACGATCTGCTCGTCAACATTACCCATCACGAGCTTGTCCCCAAGCACGTTCTTCTCTCTCGTGAGGAGAAGATGGCTCTTCTCAAGCGTTACCGCCTGAAGGAGACACAACTTCCCCGTATCCTGCAAAAGGATCCTGTCGCTCGCTACCTAGGCCTTAAGCGAGGCCAAGTTGTCAAAATCATCCGAAACAGTGAAACAGCTGGTCGTTATGCCAGTTACCGATTGTGCGTGTAAATAATTAATTGGAAAGACTGTCTTAAGATTGTGTCAAAGATCTGAGCTGTTGGTTTGGTCGAGGGAAAGAAAGGGCTTCTGGTACGAGGACAGGGGCGTCAAACTGCACATGAAATTCTAAAAAGCTGGCGTTTCAGGGGTTCTATCTAAATTGCGCTGCGCTGCGGCAAAGCCAATCAAAGAATACAAGCAATTATCGGCTTTTCTATTCATTGTCCGGTGTACTCCCTATGCACTAGATTACTGCGCCGTGTTTAAAGCTTATGGAACATGTGTGATTGCCAGAGCGGACTCAGCAGGTGATTTTATACACAGCATCATCATGCTTACGCCACAGGGAAGTTCTTGTATTCTTCACGCTCCGAAGACCAATGCTTGAAGATTCATATCAATGCCATTAAACGTTAACTTGGCTTTCGCCGGGTATATATAACCAATATCCATGCCATCCAAACAAGAAAAAAGAAGAACCCATCTGAGGTCCGCAAATCGTAAACAATCGTGGTGATTGTGCCTAAACCCCAATACCCATATTCGGCCTCAATTTGAGGTTCCCGTATACCCAAACATAAAAGAATCCCTCCCATATATGACTCCTATGCCAATTGCAAAAACGCCGTGGCCACACCAGTATCTATGAAGCCCACGGTCCCAATAGTCGACAATGAAAGAAGCATTGTCGCCTTAACACCATCCATGTGAAAATGTCGATGTGTTATTAAAGAAGTCGGCGCGTGCCAACACTAATCGCCTCTTCATGTCAAGAGCCCACCAGGATCCCTCAGTTCGGTCCCAGAATGCACATTGCTGCCTTGACGCGACTCTTCGCGGGACTGTGGTATCGGTTGGAGTTCAGTTCCCCCATACTTGGACTTGGATCGACTTTGCCTTGTGCTCGTAGGCCCAAAAAGACCACCAAGGTCCTGAAGTAACGCAGTCGAACCTCGACGGAACCCACCCGAACTAGCTGGTAAAGAAGGCACAGGCGGTGTATAGGACTGTGCCGAGTCCTCCTTGGATGAATCGCGGCTGTTTGCTCGCAAACTTCCAGAACTTTCCGGTGGAACATCAAGTAGGCCACCTACGTCAAAGAAAGACACTCTTCTTGGGGCCGGGCTGCTTTCGCTCTTTGATTGAGAGAGTGGATCGTGCTGTATGAGAGAATCGTCGCTGTGTTCCGCGTTACTGCGCTGTCTTTGTGGAAATTGCCAGCGCTCGAGATCCTGATCCAGCTTCCGAACAAGAGGGGCAGGGGTGTATTGTAGGGTACCATTCTCGCTGGAGTTATCTGGTTGATCTTGCAGCTCCGGATCGACCGTCATACCAACATCCCGCACAAGATCCTCGTCGCTCCCCCAGTGTCGATGCAGAGTTGGACGGCGAAGATTGAGCGACGGGTCGAGTGATTCGGCGACGGACGAACGACGGAACTTTTGCTTCTTAATACCTCGGTCCCGCATGAAAGATCCCAGTACTAGGGAATTGGCTGCTGCAGTGGCGAATAAAAGCTCAACCGAGGCTAAAAGAGACCGATACTGCTGACGACCATGCTCGTCTATGATGTGTGGTACCCGGTAGAGAGTCACCCCCACGACGGACAAACTCAAGGAGAAGAGAAGTACGAGCTGTATCTTTCTCTTGATCGTCATTCCACTTGTCACAATGATGGGAATAGGGAAGATGACAAGCAAAAGGTCGGTAATGACGTTGCAGACCGCCATGGTAAGAAGCTGTACATAACCTTGACGGCACTGACCGCCGGGATCGGGTAGAACTTGCCAATAGTGGCTGAAAGGTCGGCATTCGACAAAGTCACTGATGACTATAGCGACAAAGGTAGCTGCAAGAATGATGCGAATGACATATAAAGATGTCTGCCAGGTTCGTTCCCACGTGGCTCGTGTTAATCGGTGGAGGAACTCAAGCACTGCGAATTTGAGTATCCATAAGCTGTTGCAGTTAGCATATGAGATTCAAGGCTTTGCGCACTACCTGGAGCTTCCGAGTGACGAAAACCATGGATAGTGGAGGACATCACTTACGTTGCAGCATAAAAGATCCGACTGGCTAGCACAAGGCCACTGCCAATAGCCTTCTGACGTAGTTGTTGATCAGTAAGCTCAACGCCATCAAATTGCGCATTGTTAGTCCCGTAAATAAGTATGTAATGAACGCATGCCATGCGAGCATACAGAGGGATCAAAGCGAGAGCGGCGACACGATCTTCGGTAAATAGCCGTTCAGTACGGATGAAGCGACCAGCAAGCCGCAGGAGGATAATAAGTGTACAAAATGATGTCGCCCACCAACAGACGAGCAGAGTGGGCTTGTCATACTTGAATTCGCGGAGGGTTGGAGGATCTGAATAGAGAGCCATGTCTGCGACCCGGTCCGCGCTCGTCGTCCTCCGCAGAGGGCTCGACGAGCGAGGTAACGAGCGAACGTAGAGTTCTTAAGTTTGGTCGAAGGTTGTGACTAGGTTGGCGTTGACGGCTGGAAATGTCGTGACGTTGGGTCGGTATTCGACCTCGAAGTACTTGGATAATTCACCTCAACATGAGGCTGCCGAATGTGGCAGTTGACTAATAGTAATAACGGCTCAGCAAGCGACGAATGCATGAAATCGTGGATTTGTCAGTTCGTGAAAATTAATAATTCGCTATCCGTAGGTTGGCTTGAATTGAGTCGGCGATGATGGGTGACGAATTAAGCCGCGTCGTTGAGAGTAAGAATGAGATCAATCAGAACAGTCGCTGGACTCGGGGAAAATGCTGTCGGGGAACCGTCGGGACCGAATTAGATGCGCGTATATGTCAGTTGCGCCGATCTGTGGAAAGACACATCGATATATCCCAAATTTGGCTGAAGAAGAAGCCAACAAACCAAGACTGGGCGGGAGGAAAGCCTGGAAATAGAACAGGATGAAGACAGGGCAGAGTTCAGAGGAAGTACAGTAATTAAGTCAAGATAAGGGAAGAGTGGATGCGAACAAGGTGCCCGCGGCAGGTCCCAAGATATTGCGGAGGCGAGAGTGTCGGCGAATCGATTGGTGCCGGTTGGCTATCCGGAGGGCACAGTAAGTTACTGTACTGCAGTCTGCACGGTAGCGGTTGATGGCCGAGTCTTTGGGATCGCGCAGCAGATAGAGAGAGGGAGACCTCCCACACATAAATTAGACTCTCTCACTCACACGAGCCTGAGCCTGTGGCCTCCAAGGCCCGTAGCCCCGTCATCTGTGGCCCTGTGCTTCGTGGAGGAGGGAGGGGTGTTGGCCACCACAGTCTTGTGGAGCCCCCAGGATGAGATGGGCCAGACATCCAAAGCGTCGGTCCAGCCCCCAGAGCTAGTGGATCAAAAGCCAAGGGACCGATGAGCATTAGGGTCCTGACGCAGGTTCTTGGAAGCTAGCGCGCTTGTGATTCAGATGTTTTGGAATTCCTCTATGGCCAGATTAGCACGCAAGAGGGCCATTGACTATTGCAAACCGGCTTCACCGAGAGATTCCAGCAATGCGATTGAGAGGCTATCGGGCAATGACGATGCTGTCAAGGAAGTGAAAATATGATCGACCCTGGGTGACGAGCATTGCTCCAAGGACATCGACTCTTGGCGTCCGCATTGAGCCAACGATGGACTGAACTCCAGTCTAGCCAAGACAGTGAAGGGGAGGTTGACAGCCTAAAGAACAAATAGTTTAACTAGGTGGTCCATTGAAAACCAATACCCCGTCGACGCCAATATCATGGTAGCAAAATGATGATTGATTACTGGAGTTCCAAGATAGCAAATTCTAATAACTTTCCAACAAGCCACCCATGATAGCCGCAAATGTGAATGCACTATGGCCAAATCAGATCAAGGAGGGCAGCCTCTTTCTGGTTATTCGTGTTTCTTTTACCTACCATCACAAGGGAAATGATGGTATTAAACCTAAACGCGCCCCCATTGACAGCTCAAGAAGTTAGACGCTTGGCTCGGCGCAGTCTGAGTTGTCAGACATATTTGAGAAAGGAAGTCCCATGAACAGAGGTACTGTTGTCCTGGTGAAGCTGATGATATTTTTTCCATCTGAAAAAGAAACAACTCTTGGTGCAACCCAGGCGCAAGTAACAGGGCGGGGCTAGCATCAACCATCAAGCCCGTACAGTAGTACTGAACCCTAGCTGCTTGAGCTAGTCATGCGAATACCTGTCGGACCTGTCCTTCATTCATCGCGGCACATAGTCAAACAAACGCCGCCAAGCTGTCAGTACTAAAAACATCGTACATGTTTCATAGTGCTGTGGCTTATTGGTAGCAGCGGCGAACGCCTCCGTTGTCGGCCACCGAGCCGTGCGAAGCAAGCCATTCTAACCGATTAGAATTTGATACCAACAGAGATACAGATATGTCTGAAGTTGGACCGGATAAAAAGATCCAAGACGGTAGCAATGTCGGTCTGGATACCACAGTGGCTTCACGTGTCACATACGGAACTGCCCGATATGTAAAAGAGTGCTGGAAAAGTGTCCCCATGTTCCCATGCTGCTGTTTTGTGGCTGGGCGCTATGCCGTGTTGCTTATGATCTTTCAGACTCGGGTTCCGCTGGTCCATCCATCCATCTCGTTGTCAGCCGCAGGTCATTTGATCATGAGCTGTTCCTTTCTTTTTGCCATTGCGACCAAGTACTGTACTGTATGTGATAGTGATTGATCGAATTGCTGATACGGATATCTTGAGACGAGAAATATGAGCTGCCCAATATGGATTGCCATTTCCATTTCCCCCAGGTCTTGGAAGAAGAAACAAGGGTCCAAATCCAGCGATCAACCAACCGTCAAGGATCTGTCACATCATATCACGCGACAACCTGGTAGGAGACTCGATAAGACAATCAAGCTGCCCCCACGCTTTCTGACCGTTGTGCTGGGATTGTTTTTCTGCAACCTTTTCTTACTGCACTGTAATTAGAGTCAAGCAGATTGGACTTGAAAGTGAAGGAATTCGATGATACAGAAAATATCAGGAAATAAGACCGTGCAATTTAAAGTTTTGTTAGGAAAGTGGTACCTGCCCCGTTTATAGGCCTTCAAGAATGGAGACTCTCCACTTGCTTTCAAGAAATTGCCCATTGCTGCTTCCTTCTGTTCGCTCACAACAAACTGCCCGGGTAAGAACTACCGACATAGACAGCGATAATTAATTGGGAAAGCGCTTGGAGCTTCCTTCTCCTTTACCATTCAAGCATTTCCTTGGAAAACCGCTACTCAACTCCCTCAAACAAGACCCAGAACCAGAATCATTATGCTATTGATTGATTATACAGAGCATGTACGCATGGACTGTAATAACCCACACCAATAATACCCACATCACGGCCTCCTTATCTGCAAAACTCCACATCTCACGATGCATGCATCAGCCTTATCTCTTGTTCCTTGGCTGATGCATTCGCTCATGTAGGCTCTGTAGCACTTCGAGCTACGTCTGTCGTATTCTCTCACAGCTTACTCTGTACTTCCTTTATTAGCCCAGCTCCGGTTTCAACACCCGCATACGCGGAGCAACACGCCATGTTCATCGAGCTGGTTTGCCAAGATATCCACTCCATATTCGAGAACATGAATCCAAGCTATTGCCGCTCCTAACAAGCCAAAACGGCCAACGACACGGCGGGCTACTCAATTCCATAGCTTCGACCCCTGGGCATTAGACAAATGGGTTAATTCCCAAACCTGGGCTATCAACCAGAAGCTATCAGAAGGATCATCTCCGGGCCGATTCGTTGATTTCAGACTACGTCCAGTGCAACAGTGAACAAGAGCATCGGATACGCGTTGTCTTCATGTCCATCTCAGACACCATATCAGATATGAATCTGGATCAATGAGTTGGATGCACTGTACTGCCCACGGTTTTAGCTCGAGCTGTCCGTCATTAGACCATACATGCAAAACGCCTACCCTTTCACAACTGTACAGTCTTCGCTTACCCCTGGGCGGTCTTTTTCCGCTTTGATCTCTACTCTTCAGCCATCTCTATGGCCAAACCGTCATGAAAGCAACCAGTACGCTCAGCCACGCATCTACCTAATGGTGGATTCACACAACCTGATGTCTGTCTACTTGACAACAGAAGTTATCTCTTGAGGCTTAAGGTGCTAAAATAAATCACCCTAACTGCTAGTCTAGTCTAAAATGACATAGAGTGTCTAGATTATTGTATCTCTAAGGTTCGAAGCAGCCAATTCTTTTGATACCCTGGTGTCTGTCAACCACGTTGACAAAGATTTTCCAGGAACGTCTAGTGCGTCCACTAGAACGTCAAGAGAAACATGGCGCAAAGTCTCATCCAGTTGTTGCAATAGACCGATGTCGCTTAAACTTTGACGAGTCGTTCGCACGCTCTATCGGGCAGGCATATCAAGGGTTAAAACAGCCATTTGGCTTCAAATGTCTCAAGCCACCATACTACATACAGCGTCATGCATAGTTTCACAGCCATACTTGTTTCACGAATCATGACATGGAATTGTTCTTCAGAGTTTTCGTCATGGGCGGCCATCGTTTCGTTCACATTCCTCTTGAAGTTAAATATCAAGCTCACTAGTTGTGCCATCTGTCAACTCTGATATCACAATAGTTTTCGGTTGCGCTACGAAATGAGTGCCGGCCACTATTTGTAGCTAGCTTGCTATCACGGGTCGATCAGGAACCAAACTTCAAGCCGAATAGCCGTGCATTACCGTGCACTTCATCTTCTCGAACACTATTCAGCTGCCACATTGGGCCACACTTCTGCATCACCCTGAGCTAGACTAACCTCAATTCCTCGACTGCAGTTTTGATATGTGGCTTCCCAGCTTGACCCCAGTCTACACCTTTCAGCTTCTCTGCAGCTTCCTCCTGTCCCCCAAGCACACCCCAGAGTCCATCTACCACCATACTCCTTACCTTGGGCCAGGGGTGATACAACAGAGCCCCCAAGCGCTTTCTGGCTTCTTGGGCTCCTGTCTCGGCACCTTCTTGGCCAAGCATTGATGCAACACCAGCGTAGACTTTGACGCACGCCTCAAGCTTGCGTACGTTACCCGTTTTATATCCCGCCTTCTGAGTCTGCAGGCACAGGTTACGAAGGTCAACACTGCTCCTCTGGAAGAGTTGCACGTGGAAAAGGAATGCAACAACCTCAAGAGTCGGTACAATGACCCTGTCTTGACCCTGTCGAGTCTTGAGGTTCTGTAACAGTGCCTGGCAGACAAGATCTAGGTTCTCATGACTCGCCTCGCAAAAGTCACAAAGCGCCGCTCGACTGGCAATAATTAGATCTTCGTTGCCGGTATCTGCGGATCCAACGAAACCAGACATAAGCTCTGCCATCCATTGGCCCGTCTCTTCTTTTGCTACTTTGCGAAGCCACAGCCGGAGACGCGACCCAGCATGAAGAGTCAACAGGCTATGGAAGTAGGCTTTAGAAGAGAAAGTGAGGTCAAGGAAGTTTTTGGCGTGGCTAGAACTGTCAGTAATTTGATTCAGCATTCATCATAATTCTTTTTACGTACCTTTCTTCCAGGATCAGGGCCACCGCAGTTTGGGCTTCAGGACGAACTCGGTCGAGTTTTTCGGCAGAAAGGCGAAGAGCACTGAAGAAGAGTGTCCGCACAGATGTTTCTACCCACTCACTCTCATTTATCACCTCATCTAGTTTACCCCATAGTGTTCTGACAGCTCTGAGAGCATGTACACGGACATGTGATCCAATATCTCCCCGGGCGTTCGTAGTGTAGTCGTTCAGCCCCTCAGCAATCAACTGCAAGAAGGTCAGAGGCTTTTTATGTAAAACACTGCTCTGTGTCAGGCTCTGCAGGATAGCCACTCGAGTGTCAACTTCGGTATCCCATGCCCATCGCCCCAAGAGTGCTTGACAAGCCACATCCTCAGATGAGTCCACCAGGGGCTGTGCAGTCGTAAGTGCTGAAAAGTAGCCGTTGCCGTGCACAGCAGTTCGACTTGTAGGGCGACGCTCAACAGTTTCGGCCCATTCACCTATGAGTGCCTTTCTACCAGTTGGCTGGGAGAGCATCAGCAGGACTAGTGATGCAGCAGCGGTCGGCTCAATAGTCTCTTGTTCGCTGCGATTCAACCATGTTGGAACTATAGCTCGCAACGCTGATACCAGACGTGTTACTTCTACACTTCGATCTTCATCGCAGGAATCGAGCTTGGATACCAGACTCATACAGTCGGATGTATTATCGGGATGGACGAGTTCATGCCCTGGACGGAGGATTGGCTGATTCGTGCCAAGAACTGCAGTCTGCAAAACGGGCAGCGCTGAAACAACAAGACGACTTGCTGCTTCAGCGAGCAGCTCCGGTTTTCGATAGGCCGTCGACTGCAAGTTCTCCAGCACACCTGATGCTGTCAAGAGTATTTTATTGACCAGGGACGAATCCTCCTGAGATGTGCCCTCCTGAGACAGCGCAGAGAACTTATCAAGGACGGCTGCGAAGCATAATAACAGACCATGTCTTTCCTCAACCTGGCGTGGCTGAAGGGTCTTGAGGCGCTCGGTCAGCAGTTGAACAGTGGTTTTGAACCGAGTGAGGGGATCGCCAGACTTCAAGTCTGACAGTTCGGATGTGAGAACACCAAAGGCGGCACCTGACACACGCCTCGAGGCAGCATCAAGGTCACCAATACCCCTCCAGCCCAGAAGAGTGTCGATAATGGCCTCACCATACTGACTTGCTAGCCTGGTCGCGTTAACGGCTACCTCCTGAATCGCTCTGGAACGTCGCGCAACAGAGTGGTAGTCAACAGTCTGCACCACCCAGATGCCTTGCTCAACGGTATCGGGATGACGTCCCACGAGCTCCTGCAACGCCGCTGATGCACCACGTCTGATGTTTCCTGCGGGATCCAGTGAAGCAGTTATGACAAGTTCTGTCCCCAGAACCTGGATAATGGAACTGGTTGCAGGGTGAGCTTTTGCTGCAAAGACAGAGTGCGTGGGGACAGCTAGAAGTTCTTCACTCGTATATCGACGTGCCAGAGCCCAGATACCGAAGCAAGCAGCATCACGCACGTTGGTTCCAACACTGCCTCCAGACATACTTCTTTGCTCGAATGACAAGCCCAGAAGGAGGGCATGGATGATATCGGAAAGCTGTTCAGTTGGTGGAGATCGTCTGTACAGTAGATGTGAGAGCGTGAGCATCAGGCCGTGCCACTCGAGGTTATTCACGGCGGACAAGTCCCTGACTGGTTTGCCTCCAGCCGGCTTCGTCCAAAGAACATTGCGATTCAGTGATTCAAGCACTGCTTCGACAACTTGAGAAGCCATATCGGGGTCTAGTTTTAGTGTGATGATACTCAGGGATTTACTGGCAGCAAATCGTACTGGTGTATCGTTGTCAGATACAGATTCGAGTAGGTATCCAATGGCGGCCTCTGTGAGCTCGGTACTGGCCATGTCTTGTGGCTGACGAAGGCGCAACACAACCACAGACCGGATCACCTTGAGAATCATTTTCCTTGCAAGAGCAAAGGAGATAATAGTCTTTGACAACTCATCCTCGCCAACAGAAATCGCCTGGATGGCATAAAATATGGTGGAAAGATAAGGGTTCATGTCAGAAGTGTCTGACGATGCCCGCAAGACACCAGCAAGGAAGGACAGTATACCGAGACAAAAGTATGTCGTTTGAAGGGGTTGATCCTTTCTCGGCCGTAGTGAGGCAAGAGACCAGTCAATGAGGCTCTTGAGAACACCTAGCTGTTGCATATCACGTCGAATCGCCATTCTCACCAAGAGAGCCTTTGCAGCATCCCGCTCTTTTCCGGGAGTACTGAGATACTTGATAGCAAGCGGAATCATGCGCACAGTAATAGCAGGGAGGTTCTCAGGCCAGACCATGCCCGGGATATCCGGAGCAGTAACATCTTGCAGGTCGACAGATGAAATGGTAGAGAGGTCGAAGGGAGCTAGTAGAAGGTGGGAGAGCCATAGAAGAACAACATAGCGCTCTTCCCAAGACCATTTACCAAGAGTAACACCATCGGCAGAAGCTTGCTCGGACTCTTCAATGGCAATGAGTAGCAATTCTAGATACTTGGCTTCGACGTTGAGAAAGCGCACAATGACTTTTTCGCCACGAATCTTGCAGAACGTGTACAGGATCTTGCATATGGCGAACTCCACAGAAACCAACAGTTTAGAACGAGAAGAAAGAGTTTTCCCACGATGGCGAGTCTGCAGGTGCTTTAGGAACGCCTCAGCTAGGAGGGGGATCCATTTGGGGAGATATGGATCCAGCAGCTGGGGAAGTTCTTGGAAAGGGTCCAGGAGCTGACAGCAGTGTCAGTCAACAGTACATATGTGTAGGGCACATTCACTTACAGAACTGGTCAGTCTGAAAATCTCCTTTGCGCGCACCCTTGAACGAATTCTTGTGCCTCCATGACCATCAGGCTTCCAGAGGAAATGGGGCAGAGAGCGGTCAAAGTCCTCTAGAAGATCCGCCGAGATCTTCTGCAGTTTGATGTCGAAATCTGCTTCTGGAGCATCCATCCTGCGACAAGCAAAACAGAGTTGCCAAGCGGTGTTTTGTTATGAGGACGTTTGGTTGGTGTTTGATTGATGCGTCAGGTTGAACATAGGTACCTAGGTATTGTGAGAGGTCAGGTTAATGGTAAGCGGGTCCTGGTTTTGGTGACAGGTGCAGGTGCAGGTGTATGACCAATGGGAGTTTGTTTGTCTCTTTGCAACTCTCGAAACTTGAAGGAAGGAAACTCTTACAGTTTCTCAGGCGACGTTGATTATAATGTAACAGTTTGTTAATATGACTGGCAGTCTATGTTTTGTATATCCAAACATTCAGTGTCGCTACCTGTTACAGTGGTTCAGTCTTGATAAGTCAATTAACACTGTACAGTCATAGTTTACAGGTAGACAGACAGTTAAACACCAAATAAAAAGAATCATGATCGAGCTGTAGTTTTGTTTGTATATTGTATCGTCATGTTGTAAAGATCGATTAAGATAAGACAATTAGAGAGTCTATCCATGAGGGCTTCAAGCCTCTATCTCTCGAGGCCAAGCTCCAACTGTAATACCATGAAAATTCCTCCAAATCCTCTAAAGGGGTATCAAACCATTAACAAATAAAATGAGAGTCGTGGACCCTGTTTCCCGTCTGATATTCGCTCGTAAGGCGTGTCCTTCTATTCCCGATAAAAGTAAAATCATTCAAGTTCGCCAATAAAAACCAATCCATAGTTTTTGTTCCTTCCAAGACGCCCAGTCATCATCTGACTCTTTGTAACCCTTTTTAAACCCCAATAAAGCACTTAAGAAACAGCAATGGCTGCGACGATGGCATCCAAAGCACTGCTGTGTGAAGGGCCGGTAGCAGTGACGTAAGGCCCGGCCCAAGAAACTCCTAACAAGCCTTCGTCGTTGCGACCGTTCCTCCAGATCGAGATGGCGTTCTTGGTGATGAACCGACGGTACAAGTCTCTGGGCGAGACTGTGTGTAGGTATCGCAAGTTCCTGACAAAGATACCCTTGAACTGCTGCCCATCGGCACCGCAGTGGCCATCCTTGTGTTCGCATTCGTCAGTCTCGATGAGGATGCCGTCTTCGTTGGTCAGCTCCTTGATAGCTGCATTTGCAATCTTGTGTGCCTTTTTGGTGTAGTTCTTGTCGCCAGTAGCGAGTGCGAGCTCAACGAGGCCACCCAAGACAACACCTTGGTTGTAGGACCAAGTTTGCAGACCGTTGTTCTTGCAATCATCGGTAAGTCCGTCGTTAATCAACCCATCCTTGTTGATCATGCCACTGTCCTGGAACCAGTTCCATTGCTTCTTGGCTATGTCGAGGTATGTGGCGTTGTTGGGGACACGTCGTGCCAGAGAGGCAGCAGTCATGAGATAGAGTTCGTTGGCGATGGCATTCACATATCCTGAACCTTCTTCGCCTTCCTTCTTCCACCTGATTCCACCACATTTTGTTCCAGTGCCGGTTTGCATGTCGTTGAAAATGTCGATAGCAGCCTCGAGGTACTGCTGGTCTCCGGTAGCATCATGTGCTCTGATCCATGCCAGAGCCCACCATCCTTCGTCGTCGTAGAACTCGTTGAGGAAGTTATCGAAGCCACGCTTTCCAAGGAAAGAACGCTTCATCATGCAACCAGAGCTTGAGTCCAAACAATAGCTGGAGCTGACAAGACCGTTTGTCATTGTCTTCATGGTGTGAACAGTTGTTTTTTGAGCATTGGTGTATGTTGTGGCGAGGATGCCTCCGATGTTTAGCTTGTTGGCTTCCTCGAGTTCTAGAGTTGCGAAATCAGCTAGAGTTGTCACCACCTGCGAGTATTGTTAGTTTCATGTAACTCCTTTGAACCTGGTCTCAACATACATTTGCGCTAGACCACCAAGCATTGTCCCATGTACCGGTAGCGGCGTTGTAGAATTCCTTGTTCATTGCCTCGATGGAAGTGACAGCCTTTTCCGTATATGTTGAAACATCGCGAGCCACTGGTCGAACTGAAGTGACGAAAGCCGTCCCGGAGAAGAGTCTAGCCCAGTTGATATGCATTTTGTGTGAGAGAGAAATAGAGATATAGAGAGTGAGAGTGAGAGTAGAGGAAGAGATAAAAGTGAAAAGTTAGGAAACAAGGTTCAATGAGTCGTCATTAAGAATAGAAAAGAAGAGATAGATAGATAGTGATAGAAAGGAGAACAAGTATCAAACTTAGATAAACCGTCAAGGTTTGATTGAATCAGAGAAGCAACAGCTCGGAAAGAAAGAGTTTGACAGGAAGAAAGAGATCTATATACAAACAAAACGAACGAACAAACATAGACTAAAGAGAAGGGAAGAAGAAGTTTTTGATCCATGGATAGACATTCAATGTGGATGCCTCTTTGTCTAAACCCACACCGAGAACAGATCAGAGCAGACTCCACCGGCCTGGGCTGGGCTGCCTTGAATAGAGTGTTTCCTCAGGGCTTGATGGTCCATGACCGCAACCAAGACCACGCACGACCCAGAATAGCGAGGACGTGATATCTAGGGGTACACCAATGCAGCATGATACCTCCGGGTACTAAGCCAAGATTTGATGGAGCCATGATGGCAACGGCTGATTGGTGAGAGGGCGGCTGAAAGGTCGAGATGCGACTGGCGCTGAGTCGATCTTCCATGAGTTGTGATGGGGCGCTTGGTGTTTCAAGTCAAGTCAGGACCCAGAATGACGGGAAAGAACCTGAAAACTGCCGGCCTTACCCCTGACGCTATACGGACTTTAGCGTGTTATGGGATGGGTAACCGCTGTGGGGCTCTCTTTTTTACAGCGCATTTAGTCCCTATTCGGTCCCTAGTCTCAGGGCATGCTCGACCTTATCTTCTGCACGTGCTTGACCTGATACTGGTTCAACTCAGATCTAGGTAGAACTGGACTCCAAATTTATTAGTATTCACCTGAACCTCGAAAGTGAATCATGTAGATAATAAACAAAATCTCCAGATCTCCAGACCATGTTTTTATCCCCATACACTGAGAAGAGCTGAACGGAGAATCCTTGCAGACCGATAGTTTATTTTTTTCTGTCTTTCTTCTTGTTGGACCCAACTATTTTTGTTCTACTGTTGCGTTGTTGTGCTGTCACGGCTACTTAACCAGGGTATAGCGTTTCATCATATGAGTGCAATATTATGCGCTAGACTTCCATGCTGATATCCAATTCTTTTCCGTCACTCCGTCCAAGAACCCAATACTACGGTATGATACAGCGCAGCACAATACGATTTCATTGCAGTTACATATACGTACATAAGTACTGCAGATCCTGATCTTGACACCGCACCTCAGGATCGTCTCATCCCATCTTCTTTTATGCATCTTTGTTTGACAGCCCTAAAGGCATTACTCGTGCTCCTGACTTATATCGCCTCTGCACAACCTCGGATTCATCTTCTCTTCTGCTTCAATTGGATCGTGTTCTGTACCACATCTTTGTCTCTCGGGATAATGATCTGTCCGCTATAGCCGCTCGTCTTTGACTGTTGGCGCTTCTCCTTGTCTTTTCTCAGTCCTTTGATTATCGAAGCCTTTGACCTCAATCCGTGCACAAAGCGAAGAAACTTGGAAGCACGGTGTCACTTGTGCCCCAATCGGAACATGGATCCGTCCAGAGCTAAGCTTGTTCAGATAATAAACGCCTTTGTCGGGTCCGTGGTTGTCGGAGGTAAAGGACAAAGTTACTATATCCAGCTGGCTACCTACCAACTGAGACTGACCCTTGCTCTGCGTTCGCCGCTCGGACTCCTGTACAAAGCACCGCTACCACTGCTTGGGTAACATCGGAACAAGTGTTGTTCTGTGGTGACAGCGGTAACTAATTATCGCATGGTTGGGTTGAATAATTCTTTACAAAGCCTTTGCCGACGGAATTGCCATGTCGATCTCGGAAGAAGATCTTATGCAAGGCCCACGATCAACCTTGCACATTGCTCAGCTTTTATTGTAAAGAGTAATGATTAACTGATATGCACAGCACGGCTTCCATTGTTTCATCCCTTCTGGGCGGTCGAAAACTAGACAAAGAAGCGAGGAAATCTGCAGATTTTCTCCAAGAGACTCTGTTGCGACCTTGCAATTACCAACAAATAACCAACAAGCTAAGACCGACGGCGACGTTAGGCATTGAGGACGGCAGAATATGAGTTATGTTAGCGTCTAACGTGTTTTGATGGGTCTGGTCTTCACCCTATTCTCCTTTCTCTCCATCCTCTCCGAATCTAACTGGCAGTGTTGGCTTAGCGAGATGTCCCTAGAATTGAAACAAACCATCTATGGATCTGGTGGATAGGCAAGTGTCGCTCAGGTGGTACCTGCTTTTCTTTAGTGGAGCTGGACTGCAGCTGCCCTGGAGATCTTCGTGCTTGCCCGATTCGAGATGCAGTGTGTGTGGAAGGAGCACACTAATTCTAGAGCCTCAAGACTTAAACTTCGAGACTGGGCTTTCTTCCGCCTTCCACACAACGCCATCTACGTTATTGGACTCAACACTCCCGATTTGAGACAGAAGCCACCCAATTTGATCTTTGTATCATCGTTACATCTGCTTTGTTCGTCTCGAGCCTGCAAATGGATATCAGCATGAGCCTTGGCGGCGGCTGAGTAACAGGGCGGATATCGTGGCGCTTAATTCACCACTTTGACCTATTCCAACATAGGTCGCTACGAGACCCTCGCTCATTGGCTTTCAATGACCGGCAAGCCTTCAACAGCTATCAAAATAGCCGCATCGCGTAGCAACCAGCGGCTCCGATACGATATCAGACTAGACTCGCCAGGTTATGAAGCTATTCCTGGCCAACACCTACCAAAGTGATGTCAGTACAAACATCAAGGAAACAAGATCCTTGCTTCGACGACGTCAATTGACTTGGATCAGACCCCGGCTTGGACATGAAATATTCAGTTGCGAAGGTTGTTAGGCGTACAACACAGCCATGCAGTCATCACAACAGGAGCACAGCAGATTTCCATAGTTGAACTAAAAATAAGTGGTTGCGCAATGCTAGCTACCAAAAAGGATCATACAAAAGAAAATACAGAGAAAAACAAGAGAATACTAGGTATCTCTGGGTATCTGTTCTATACGCCGTCTACGCCAACCCATACAACCAATATATCTGGGTTCGTCATACACCATTACTTCCCACGATCGGACTCTCGGCTTCTTCTACTCGCGTCCGTTTGTACCGTTCGGGATTGCTGTTGGCAGTGCCGGAATCTCATTACTGCTGATCGAGCCAGCTATACTGCCGGGTCTTCCCACGCGGCTTGTTTTGCGGGACGAGAACCGAGACAAGACAGACAATGATTTGTTTCGCTCGTTACTAACGATGCTCGCCCTGTCTGAGCCCGTCTTGCCAAAGTCCCGCAGTGTTGCAATGTCAATGAACGCCTGAGGGAAGATTCCTGTTTTTCCCTTGGCATTCGTACCTGACCAGCACCAAAACTCTTGGTAAGGCCCTGTTCACAGTTAGATTATTCATACGAATCGTTCATCGCCTAGGCCAACTTACAGCTGATGTTGGTTATAATTTCGTCCTTCTCGAACTTGAGCCAGTCTCCTTTTACCTTGTCTTTGTGGTTAAACTTCCACCTTGCGGTAGCTTGCACCGGGCTTGTTCCATCTATCTTGACTTGATCGGACGGCGGCGCATCCAGCCTCAGAATCTCGGTTGGAACACTGGCTTGGATACCGTCGTGGAATCCCATAGCCCACTCGCCCAGGTATTTCGGTGGCCAATAAAGGCCTACAATCCTAGCATTCAACACAAGTTCGAGTGCAGGTGTCCTGTCATACAGCAATCTTTGGCCGTACATGCGGCGAGCTGCTTCTTTGCTGGTAGCCGTTGGACAATAGAATATCTCGGAAGCCTTCTCGATAAGTGGGTGTGCTTCAACGGGTGACTTGAAGTGAAGATCATAATCATTCTTGTAGTCGATGGGAATCTCGGTTCTCTCGATCACCGTAAAACCAGGAACAGCCGGCAGAGGGCGAGGATGACGGGCCAAGTGGGCGAACAGGGCCTTCTGGCTGGTGAAGACCGTTGCGTCGCTCGCATGAAGCGTCTTCCCCTGATGCACACAGAACACACAGCCATACATGACATCGTCTGACCTGCGCGTTGGCAAATGCGACTTTTGAAGGAAGCGCAGTCTATAGCCAATTCCATTCTTAATGAAATTGCCACGTTCTAGAGAATTGTCAGCATATCATAGAGCCCTGGGTTTTGAGGCATGTGTCCGAACATACCTGCTTTGTTGACATCCAAGTCAATTTCGTTAAAGTCGAGTTCGAACTGGCACTTGACACATCTCGCAATTGTCACAACAGAAGCAAATCCCTAGATCGATACGTCAGTAACAAGTTTGGCATGAAGAATGGAGGCAACATACTGCTTTTACGGTCTTTCGAACGCCGGCTCCCCCGTTGAGTATTTCTTTTGCACCATCACAAAAGCCCTTGTGCATATAGAATGAACTTTGTGGGCTGAGCTTGCAGTCGATGGCAAATGGATTCGGTGGGTGCTCGGGAGCCATGACCTCAGTTTCCACAGGAATGGGAAGATTGTCTACTTCTGGCACCGCTGCAGGTCGGACTGGCTCAAGCATTCCCTGATAGTTATTCACTGAAAGTTGTTTGACCTGAAGCTGGTTCATTTCTACGGTACCCAAAGTTGGACTACCGTCAGCAACATCGCGGTTGTCTGTGAGAGGGGTGGTTGCTCCGTCTGCTCTGTTGGAGTCAAAGACAGATCCAGGATTGGTTTCAACAGATTCAGGACGAGACTGGGGAAGCGAATGTGATCGAGGAGGTACAGTCCTGGGAACGGGAGAGAGCTGCGACATGTAGCCGGTGCTGGATCTTTCTGATACGACATCTTCAGGTATGGACGTGGACAAAATGGAGTTGTGGCCTGAATAACGCCCGCGAGATGTCGGGAAAACGCTGTATGTCCGTTCATATGTCGTCGAATCCATCCCTACCGAGCTGACCTGGGAATCGTTGCTGTACTGAGATGAGCGATCCACGGCCATCTTCAGTGGGCGCGGAAGCATTTCTCTGCCTTGATCTGGACTCAAAGGTGGTGAAATTGGTTCAACGGGGGACTCGATCGGGGCCACTGGCTGCCGCCTTTCAAAGGAGAAATCGTCTGAAAAGTGGTTGTCACGGGGTGTCGGTGAAGTCTTGAAGTCCCATGGATTGCCCGATGGCGGTCTCGGAGGTGGCTCGATGGGTGTAGCTGCAGACTGCGGCGTATGACTGGCTCCTGGGGATTCAGCGTACAACCCTTCATCCGGACCTGACCGAGACTGCATCATGCGTCGCAGCTCAGCAGTGGCTGCTTCTACCGTTGGAGGGTCGTTGCTAGAGCGGCTTTCCGAAGCGAGGGAAGAAGCACTTCTTGGCATATCTTTTCGCATATCGGAAAAAGGATATATCGGAGGGATCGGAGGAGCATCAGGAGATATAGGTCGCGACTGTGGTCCAGACATTCGAGTCATGATGGAGCGGCTGTCATGATCAATCGGAACCTCGAGTTTGAGACGCATGAGGATATCGTATATCTTGGGAGCAGCTTTGCGCGACAAGGCTTGTAGTTCGCTAAATTTCTCTGCTTCGAAATCATCCAGTTCTATATAATCATCAAATTCCCACAACAGCTCGTTTAACTCGGTTCGAAAAGCAGCGATCTCATCTGCGTGGGCCATGATGGTTAGTCAAGGACAATCTGACATTCGAGAGCGACGAGCGATAACCTGGCCCTGAAGAGATGGAATGGAAGCTTACCGCTTTCCTTGAGGGCATCGAGGAAGTTGGAGCCGTACTCGTCCAGGTGTTTTCGACATAGTGGCTCAATTTTCTTCAGCGCACGCTCGCCTTCCTTGATCAGGCTCTGGGACGCCTTCAGCATCGCTTTATCTTCGCCCGCATTTTCTAACGCCTCTCGTCCTTTTTCGACGATATCTCGAAAAGGCGCGATAACAAGATCGACAGCATCATCCATGATGGACCTGACAAGTCTTGAGATTGGTGCACAATCAAACGAACGCTCAAAACAAAATCGTGTGGTGGCAGATGATTGATAAAGGGAGAGCGATGTGGGCGTGTAAGTCAATATGAGGGGACTTGGAAAGGGCCAAAGATGGGGGGGTAACGTTAAGAGGTGAGGAGGGGGATCATCACACGACAGGGCAGAATTGGGCAAGGCAAGAAATTCAAGCGAATATTGGGGACCAAGTTAAATATGAAATGAAAGAGAAACAAGAACAAGAAATGAAAGGAACCAACGAGGGTAGGGGATCTTTCCATCTTTACTATGACATGGCCTTGCCTGGCTGTACTGTAGCTGGGCACTCACCAGGGCAGACTAGCACACGAGCTGAGGGCCGAAATCGACAGCGGTGCAGTAGTCCTAGACTGAGTCTGGCCTAACCTGGCCTATCACTGTGTCCTTTGTTGCTGCAGCATGCGAGCGCCTGTACTACACGATTGGCTGACCGGGAGCCGGACGCCGGTGATGATTGACGGATTGACAGATCCATGGCGCCATTCCTGAGCCTCTAGCTACAGTTAGGGGTCGCCCGAGCATTAAGAGGTTATCATGGATGGGTTCTCGAAACAGTTCGGCCATGGGCAAGTTGAAGTCAAGAGGTAACTTAGAGGTACTAACTTACAGAACCAGCTTGGTTACGACTAGCGTCAGTTTACGAACAAGGGGTCGAATCCTTTCAACATGATACAAAGGCGGAGACGCTCCACTTGCCGTTGCCCACGTTGGCGGATATGCGCAACGGGATTGGGGGGCTGTCTCAAGTGTCATGGCCTCATGCAGCGATTATACATCTACTTTCCTTATAAAGTGGACGGTTAATCAAAGACTTCGGTCGATGTTCTCGGTAAAGGACATGAGCAACAGGAGAAACAGGACTAGTCAGGAGAGAGGGTTTCGACCGAGAACTCTTTTTGATTTGACATTTGTAAGAGCTGAGCTGGGTGAGTCTGCTCTGCTCTGTTGTCCATCTCATAACTACGACGGATTAGTCTCGACTTGCGAACGGTGAGTGGCACAAGCATGAAATTACCGAGGCACTGTTACCTGTCGTCTTTCTTCTTCCATTCCTTTCTCAATGAATACTGTACATGATGCAGATCATGTCCATGCATCGGAAACACCAAGAGGTGGATCACGACAATCATGGGGTAGCCTGGGTCACAGACTGTAAATCCAAACGAGACGTGACAGCGCTGATCGTATGGGGCATCAATAAGTTCCAAGGCTCTGGACATAAATAAAACTCAATTCAGAGCTAGAAAGAGATATATAAGATATCAAAGAATCCTAGCTCCATGTTGCACAGGCTGGATGTTACCCTAAAGCATTTTGACATTCCGATAAAAGGGCAAAGCAGAGCATCCGAAATTCAAATTTCGATCTCATCGCGAAAAATAGTACTGACATAGACTTAATCTTTTGTTGGTCTCACAAGAGCTAGTTCAATATTAGGCACCTGGATTCTCGTTGTCGCTATTAGTCGAAAAATTATGATCCATACCAGTCAATCATGGATAACCAAGCCGCATGAAAGCCTGAGATAAGGTAATCATGAATTAGTCTTTAAGAGGCTGGAAAGACTTCGCCCCAGACTATTTCAATTCTTCATATCATATCGAAGGTCTGGCGCTCATCCAGCGATCATGATATCACAGCACAGCCTCCTCCGCCCTGTTGCAGTGACACACGTGCCTTGGCCACTCCCTCACAGCCTTTGTCGTGACTGCCTAGTCGAGGCGTTTCCTGGCACGCGTCTGCCTATTTACATCTTCATCCGCCTTTCAAGTAAGAAAGAGTTGATCATCACTTATTAAGAGTCGAAATGACAGAATCTTGAATAACTTTAGTATTCAAAGCAAAGGCACTCCGTTTATATGTACCAGCAAAGGAACCCAGCCAATCATAACACCGTGACCGTTCGTATACTATGATTATCCTTTTACCAACCACTCCATCTTGCTCGTTTCCTGCAACATTACCACAATTTGTCTTGCACGTTTTCAATTACACTTAGGCTTAAGAAGCCTTCATGCTTGGAATGGGAGACTTGCTCTGGCCATTCTTCTGAGCAGCAAGCTTCTGTGTTACTGTTAGTGAGGGCTCTGTTTTATAACATAGATATATGCCAGCTTACCTGCTGCTCAATCATCCTGCGCCCAACATCGATAGTCTCGTTCATGCCTCGTTGACGTTGCCAGAATCTGTATCGGATATTAGTAAACCACAAACTATCATAAGCGGTTCAACTCTACTCACATCTCTTCTGGGGTTCCGTGACCTCGGATAGATGTTTGGCGGGCCTCCTCCTCTAGAGCGGCACGAGTGATCTTTTCACTGTGGTCGATACCTGGAACAGAAGCTTTCTCAGATGCACCTTGGCCAATGTTCTCTTCGAGAAGCTTTCTCTTCATCATGAATCTCTCCTTGCGCTCCTTCTGAACACCAGGGCTGTCGACCTTGCCAAGTACATATCGCACTGCAAGCTGAACGATCAAATAGAAGTGCTCGGCAAGGAGAATACTCAGAAGCAGACCCCAGGCCTTCAGAGGGGATGGAGTGCCACGGGAACCATGACCTCGTGCACCGCTGCACAGGTACACAATAGCAGCGCTAGTGATGCTTCCGAGCCATGAGAGGAAACTGAGAGCAGTCAACCAGGGGCCGATCGAATCTGTTCGCCAGGGAATGGGTCGTCGGCTACTGATGGCGATCTTGAGAGCATCAGACCTCAGCTCAACCCAGTTGTTCACAAGATAACAGAAAGCTGCCAATGGCCAAGCGACTGAGAACATGGCGACGTAACCTATGCAATAGTCAGATATCTGGTTGCACGAAGATTTGCCAACGTCAGCTTACCGAACTGCATTACCATCTCGCGGTAGTCTCCCGAGACATCGTACACCTCAAGTGTGCACTCCTTACGCACACGCTCAAGGAACTCTGCCTCCTCTTCGTGATCATCTTGCACCTTGGGCTTGGAGTTGAGCGCCTTGGCTTTCTCGAATGCCTCTCGCTTGACGTAGGGAACAACAACTTCCGTGACAAAGTTGACAACCTGGGCTGTAACGGTGAAATAGAACATCTGATTGCTGATTCGAGCTGGGTTGATCTGGAAATCTCTTGTTGGCAATGGCTTGTCGCTGAAAGTGACAACTTGAGCTGTCTTTCTCCAGAACTCGAGGAAAGGAACCAGGACGTGCCCAAAAGGAATATAGACGAAGGCTGTGAAGAAAAGAGCCATGTATGAAGTCATGAAGTTGAGGACAAACTGCTTCTGAATGAGAGCAGCGTCATGGGCTACTTATGTCAGCTCAAGTCATAGTTGAGAAGTTAGGTGAGCACATACCGTCAACAGTGGCATAGTTCTCCATAGAGTTCAATTTTTCAGCGGCTTTCATAAGCACACCTGAGATAGTTGGAGTACCAAGAACGAGGAAAACAGTCGGCACGAACGCCTGTGGGAGTGTTAGCAGTGCTAATTCAGGATAATCGTCAGTATTCTTACCAAATACTGTTTGCCAGGGCCATTGTAGACTTCGTTGATGAAGACCTCAAGAGAGTTGCAGGTAACGATCAGGGTACCTAAAGCAATGACACAGGCCAGTGCGAAAGGGATCTGGAGCAATTGAGTCTTGATGCGCTTCATAGGTTCGTAAACCTTGACGACTTCCCCAGTGACAGGGTCCTCAGCCTCGTGATCCCATTGATATTCAGGTCTTGCCTGTTGAATGCTGGATACTCCGCGAACACCCCACTGCACAGCCAAGTCGATCTCCTTCTTCTTCCAGTACTCAAAAAAGACAACGGACCAGAGGCCGCAGAGCAAGGCATAGATGAATGAGAATTGACCAAGCAGAAGCCATGCGACAAAACCGAAACCGGCAGGAAAGACGAGCCAGCGGAAGTAAGATCGTAGGAAAGCGAAATAGAAGGCAACGCTCTCGCCAAACTTGTCTCGAATCTCGTCAATATCAGCCTGCTCCAGAGTCGACTTGCTGCTCCACTTCTTAATCCATTTCTTGTTGAAGTTGTGACTGTGCAGGGGAAACACCGAATCGACGTATTTCCAGTTCGAGTTGGAGGTTGTGATTCCAGCGCCGCCTTCGTCGCGAGGCTTGGTGATCATAAGATAAATCAAGCGCAGTCGCTCAGACTCGACAACAGGCTCATCTTCAAGAGCTTGGTTGACATCGCTATGGGGAGCTGAGACCCGGACGCCATGGAGCCAGTCTCCGAGACGAGCACGGTAGACTTGTTTCGCGAAGAGATCGGGAGAGGCGACTTTGACGAAAACAAGAAGGGATTCGCTTTCGCCGTGGCGGACTTCAGTTGCTAGACCGACGGTGGTGAGGGCTTGGATGAGCTGGACGAAGCCGGCTTCAGCTTCGGCGCGTTCTGTCGCGAAGTTAGATGTGAGAGCTTCTGAAGTTGAATGCCATGCTTTTACCTGAGGAAGGGACCTTGTAGTGAATGACAAAGTCGACGCTGTATTCGTTAGAGTTGATGATTGAGTTTGGAAGCTGTCCGGTGCTTACCCAAAGTTACTGGTCTGGGACTTGTCGCCAGATTGGCCGTACAGGTCCTTTAGGTTGGACATGTTTGGCAGAGCTTGATGGTGCAGGTGGTAGATGATCTAGATCTACTATGATTAAAGAAGGAGAACAAAAATCATGAGCCATAGAGAGGAAACGTTAATCATGAGGAGAGAGGATCAGAAGGAGAACGACATTGAAACGAGACAAAGACGGTAAAACAGGGATAAACGTATTAAGCAGTCCAATTAGGTTGGGTCGATGACGATTGATACTGAAATGGATGTTGGAGAAACAAGCTTTAGCTGCAGCTCTGGGCTCTCGCTATTGACGGGCAGAGACCATACTGTACCGGTCCAGCTGAGGGGAGCTTCAGCTTGACTTGACAGAAGCCCGAGCTACCAGTCTCAGTTGCTCTAGTGGGGGAGCTTTAGTGAGCGACGTCACCAACTTGTCCCATCTTGGCCAAGGACATGGTCTGTGCTTGGAACTGCCATGACATCTTAATTTAGGGATATCAATAATGGAGCATAGATTTATGATGGCACATAAACTGAGCAGTATATACTGACGGACTTCAGGCTCAGTGTTGCTGTCAAATTATATCTGTGCTGTTAAGCTCAAGCTCAACACCATTGATACGGCTTCGGGCAGGTAAATTTTGAAGTAAAGGTGTCGTCGGTGGCTTTCACATGCCAAACCGCAGATCATCAACCATGAGTGACCAACTTGCCATGACTGCAGATCTAGGAGCTAATACAAATAAAAAGTTGATTGAATAAAATAATTCAATCAATTCTAAGTAGTTATGACTTATATCCGTAGATGTCGGCTATCTATCTATTATAATATTATTCTTCTAGAACATGATACATTGACCCAAGGTCATGGATGGTTGCTGTCAAGTTAGCGTCACTGTGGGGCCGATTATAGTGAAAGAAGCTGTAGCTCTCATCACTGCTTTCGTCATGACCGCTCACTCCACTAACATCCAACCATCTCACTGTCACTTCGAGCTTCACTCATAGTCACAGCCACAGCCACACCCGCAGAGCTCTCCACCTGCCCAGAAGGGAATTCCATCCCCAAGTTGTCAATTAGATCCTGGATCTCGTCTTGCTCGACGCGCTCTATACCATGGGCCTCCTCTCCTTGGTCGGCCTTCGACGCCGCAATCAATGGGAGCCCATGACTCTCATCGACCATTTCATCTCATCACCTCTAACATACATCGCCTACCTGTTCTATCACATCGTACTTCTTCTTCGCGGTCGCCCTTTCCTTCCGCCTCGCGATAAACCCGCTATTCGCGTCGTCTGCATCTCTGACACACATGATCTAAAAGTCGACATCCCCGGGGGTGATATTCTCGTTCATGCAGGCGATCTCACAGATTCAGGCACAGTAGAGGATATCCAGAAGCAGCTCGACTGGCTCAAGGATCAGCCTCATCCCATCAAGATCGTCGTTGCCGGTAATCATGATAGCTGGTTTGACAAGAAGAGTCGCCCTGAGGTGGATGTGCGATCAGGCGCTAAACCTAACATGGACGGTCTTATTTATCTTGAAAGTGGTTTGACTGTGCAAAAGGTCAAGGGTCGAACAGTCAATATCTTCGGTGTGCCTGATATTCCGTCCATTGGTCCCAAAGAGTTTGCGTAAGTGTCATTTTATTCCGTTGGAGCAGTAAACTAATATCATGCTTTCAGTTTCCAATATGCTTCAGCAGATCACCCCTGGTTGAGCAAGGTGCCACCTCAAACCGATATCCTCATCACCCATTGTCCTCCGGTAAGACTCATAATAACCATATTATCACAAGTCTTTCTATTTACACAAACCTAGAAACATCATCTCGACCTTGGTCTGGGCGATAGCAATCTTCTTCGCGAAGTCTGGCGCGTAAAGCCCCGTCTCCACGTTTTTGGTCACGTCCACTATGGATATGGTAAAGAATCCGTCTATTTCGATGACTTCCAACAGACATACGAGCGTATCATGTCACGACCTCGTCGTGGTCCCATCCTAGATTTCATCCCCAATGAGGCTTGGCTTGATTATTTGCGGTTCCTTGCCCAAGGTCTCCATAGTGTTGCGTGGAAATGGTTGATGTCGGGTCCTGGAAGCAATAATGGTAGCATGATGGTTAATGCTGCTCAGATGCACGGAAACTCGGGTAAGGCTAAGAGCAGGGCTGTCGTTGTTGAGATCTGAACACTCATCCTATATATACGAATGTGATGCAAATATGTTTGTTTTAACTATTAGATCACATCGTCGAAAGACAGAAAAAACTTGTTTAAATATAAAATCGTGATCATTCGTATTAAGCTTTGATATGTCGTAAAAAGACAAAGGAAATCTCGACCATACATACATAAGAAAGAAAAGCCAACCAAGCCCCTGCCGGCTACGTCTATGTTTTTGTGTATCCTATGTTCCCATTATTAAATCCCCATAAGAAGAAAGAACTAAGTGAGTATTTTTGCCCCAAACCGATACCCCAGGACCCCTTACAGCGTCAGTGCCAGGATTGCCATTGCTACGATGGCAAAGTACACAAACACATCATCTCTTCTTGATGGTGCTGCATTGACAGCAATTGGCTCACTGGGTGCACCAGGCGTTGGTGTAGCAAGGGTGACCGGAGTGTTTGGCTGTCCAGGAGATGGCACAGGAAGGATGCTCATTTGTGCATCGACGTTAGAGATGGTGAGAACGACTGTTCGTCGAGCTGTCCTTGTCACGGTAGAGACCGAGTCTGTAGAAGAACCGTATGTGACTAGTTGAGTAGTCAGGTATGTAATCACCACAGTTGTAACCTCAGCAGACTCTCCGTCTTCCGCACCGCCCCCCATACCGTTCGGCACTACAGGAGCAACAGTGGAGTTACGGGGTGGTTGTGCTAGATTGCCTCCATAAGACGTGACACCCGCAGCAGCAGCATTTCCAGTCTGCTGTGCTTGTTCTGTGTTTGCGCCTGGGACAGTGATAGTAACAGAGATGGGCACCGTCAACGTAACGGTGTCCTCGCCATTGGGCCCGCAACCGTCACACTCGACAACCTTGGTCTCCATGGGCGGCTTGATCAGCTCAGGGGTCTCGCAGTAATCACATTGCTCATACGACATAGTGACGATGCCCTGCTGAGGAACAAGCGACCCGGGGTTCGAAGGCATAACAGTAAAGTATGTGATAGTGCTTGTGATAGGTTCTCGATTAGCATCAGCAAGAGCCCGAGTGGCCTCGATAACTGAACCGTCAGATGCAGTGCCAATAACCGCGACAGGAGAAATTTCTGCGTCAATGGCTGCGGCAACAGCAGTGTTTGTAGCCGCAACAGCCTCAAGGACTTCGTCAATATCAGTAGCATCGGAGCCAACAACTGCCCTGATGTTGGTAGGTTCGGGAACGCTGTCGCCCTCGGCGTCCATACCATCCTGGTCGTCTGATACGGATTGTCCAGCTGAACCATCTTCATCCTCGTTGTTGGTATCATCTTGGTTGTTCGGGCTACCCTGGCCAGCGCCACTACCAGTGGAAGGACTATCGGAGCCCGGTCCCATAGCAGGAGGAACTTCAGGTTGTCCAGCGTCAGAAATATCAGCATATACCGTTAAAAGAATGTTGCTGGGCGCATCTCGGCGAAGGGGAATGCTCCTCCTGGATCTGGATCTGGTGTTCTGTGTGACCATACCACCGCAGAACTGACCATCATCACCAGGGCAGGGACGATTGCATGAGGTCTCGTTGCGGATAGCACGAGTATCACCGTCAAGTGCAGAGGCGCAGTAGCAGGTACTGTTAGAAATGTTAGTCATATGTCTCCCAATCTCTTCATACAAAGACTTACCTTTCAAATAGGCCAATGTAAGTCAGGCCATCGCAAGCATCGATACACCGCTCGATGGTCATATCATCGCTATCCGCAGCCAGGTTGAAGGTCTGGAAACCAGTCTGCGATCCAAAGCAGCCAAGGTATGAATAATCATCAACATTGGGTGGGTTGATAGATCGACCACCGGTAGCGACGGGGAGAGGGCTAACAGTAGGACTATCGGTGCCAGAACCAGGAACAGTGACAAAGACGGATGAGATGCCGGTCAACGTAGTAGTCGTCGTAGGCTCCTCTGACTGAGTGGCTTGATCCCCTGGTTGAGTAGTCTGTTCCTTGCGCATGGAACTAGTAGTGATGGTGTTGTTGGAGAAAGACAATGTTGTGAACATAGGGCTTCCTGAGACTGAGGTGCCGATATTGGACTCTCTAGGGACGATAACATCTGTGGACTGTGCGGATGATGGAACCACAGGTTGAACGTCTCCTCCGAGACGAGTGTAGACATCAATGTAGCTGACATCGAAATACGCTTCCTCGAATGCAGTAGGGTTCTTCGCAACATATTCGTTACAAGTTGGGGCAAGTTCACTACAAACCTCAGAGCTGGCCCAGGTGCCGCCTCCGTAGTCGCCGCAGAAGTTCTGTCATGCCAGTTAGTAAATCACTACCGAAATAGAACGGTCATCACTTACAATGTTCAGAACAAGTCTCATGTCTCTGAAGTAGTCATTGACGTTGCATTTGGAACCGCCAAACAGACTCTGAGGCAATCCCCATTTCTTGGGATCAGGTCGCTTAGCCACAATATCAGCGGGGATTGCTCCTCGTGGGAAGTGCCAGATCGAGATGTATTCCGAGTCCCACTCCATAGCATACACTCCTCCGCCAACAGCATTGAAGCCGTCGCCATAAGAAGAAGTGTCGCTCTTAGGAGGGTTGAAACCGCATCCGACATTGTCTGTTCCAACACCACAATCTGCGTCGCGGAGGATACCAGAGTAGAGATTTGAGTCCGCGGGATCTAGCATGCATCCCTCAGCCGTGTGTGCGGACATGATGTTAGTGTAGGCGAGGTTGGCACCCTCGAGGATATCTACCTCGCCATCTGTCGGCCACTCTCTACTTCCATAGGCCCAGACTGCATATTGTGTTAGTCTATATATTCGATATAGAGCACAAGGTTGACCAATACTTACAGGCTGGCCAGGTACCACATTGGGAAATGGGCATGTGTCCGAAGTCTGCAATGAACAAGCCATATTGGTAGGACTCCTTGCTTTCGAGTCGAACACTTGGTCGTCCTTCACCCAAATCGTAGATAGTACGAGACTCAGGCCTTAATCGGACATTTTCGGTGAATGGATCGACAGAGTACAAGCCATTCATGAAGGCACCTCTCCGATCTTGATATCTATCCTGTTGTCAGTATCAAGTCATATCGACTCTCGGTGGACAATCTCACTGTACGAATCCATTGGAAAGGTCTGTGCCGTTGAACCAGTCGAAACCAGAGAGTAGAGATTCTCCTATGAAGGAGGTAGTCAGTGAGTAAGCCATCGTTTATCACGCAGAGACAGTGATACGAGATGAGAACAAAAGTTTTAAAGTTGACAGAAGAGGATGAGTCGTTTCATCTTGAACAACCGCGGGCAGCAGAGCATCTTTTAATTCTTTTGCGGTCTATTGCCCGACACGGCGAACACCACCCGCATTGGAATTCAGTAGTGGTTGGAAAACAACTGAAAGCATACGATCTCACGACAAACAGTCGTGACGCTATTCTGAGACACCACGAGGATGTTGGTTAACCCAATAGTACTGTGAAGGGTCTGGTGAAGAGAATGCAATGCTTTGCATTAGCTCGCCATTGTATCCGTGACCATGTCGCAGATTGCCACAGAGAAGCAGTGGTCGACCTCGCTATGCGCCATCTTATACATTCCATTGATATCACCCTGTATCCCGGGGTGTGGCTGGCTTCTAAATCGCCTCAAAGCGGCGGAGATTAAGGTGAGACACCAAGCGGTTGGCGTTGATGATAGCGTTTCGATGCAGGTACAATAGACGTTTGATGAAACAGGGAGGCACGAATACATTCCAAAGCCGAGAGATTCAATTATGATAGCATCCCGCATCGAGAAAGTGGTCATGTTGGGTTGAATTAAATATAAAGGGTGAGACATCCAAGACCACCCTGGGTATCGAAAATTGCGCGCCGATTTCGAGAAACAATCTCCTTGTGTGACGCATGCAGTAAGTATTGTACAGTAAATGTCGTTTTCTCTATACCATTATTCGCCTCAGACCTTCAGTTCCTCCTAGAACCCTTCTTCCTGTGACTGCGCATCTCCCTTGGCCACTCTCCCACTTGCCCTCGCGCGTCTCCATAAAATCCTCCTGCTTCTGATGCTGACCCTCGAGCCATTTGTGGATACACGTATAGCAATAAACGACACCGGTCTGGCACGCTGTGGGAGTAACTATCTCATCGACGCAAATTGGGCACAATGATGAATCGCTGGGAAAGGGAACAGTATAGACAGGAAGAAGCGAGGGAGTGGCGATGGGTGCATCCTCGGCTGAAGGGGTTGCATCTCCCTCTTCATTCGACTCTTCCTTCTTTTCTGTCTTCTTCTTATCGGATCCTCCCTTGCCATCTGCCGATATCACAGGCGGAGGCAAATCAACAGTCTCTGTCGCTTTTCGCGAAAGTTGCTTCGCGAAATCTGACTGGTACCACCACTCCAAAAACTTGAGCGCGAAAATACTTGTTGGTAGCAAAATGGACAAGCTTGACAAAATGCGAGGGCCCATTTCACGGGGATTCAACAGCGACCGCCAACCCGGTGTGTGTCCTGTCTCGGGTGTCTGCGTCAAGGCTTCAATCGCCTGGTAGTCCGCTCCTGACATTCTTCGTATACGTGTTCCTATTAGCCACATGAGAGGGCTATGATATTTGCTTCCATCAAACAGGTACGCCACGTTGAAGGCAAGCATGGCAAAGTAGTAGCCAGCATTAACACTGGGGTATATGTTCCTCAAGAACCATCGGTAGTAGTATAAGAATCGATCGCGAAGGGTTGGGTTGTCTGGCATTCGCGTGTATGCCGCGCCCAGAAGCGCTCTTGGCGCATTCACCTCGTAGCTCTCGTCTAGCTTTCGCTTCAGATAAGGGATGCCCACGATGATGAGCAGATTCTTCCAGACGTCCTTGGTTGTAAGTTTCAGAGTCTCGCGCACGATAGCGGGCGATGACATGCTTGCGCGCGGAACCTCAGCATGGAGACCCTTTTCGCGCTTGAGGCCATAGAAGTGCTCTGTGAATGAGCCACCCCTTGTGCGCAAATAATGCCGCTCAACGAGCAGCATGACTCCAGCATATATCTCATCGAAGGAGTTCAGTATTCTAAGAAGATATCGTGGGTGTCGATGCGTCGCGATAGTGACGAGATAGCGGAGGGTCGGCGGAAGAAGGGCGTTGAGCTGTTGCTCTGAGAGAACTTCGAAGAGCGAAGGCTTCTGCTCGTCGAAGGTGCCCCTGAGGGCTGTGACAAACTCCATTGTCGCGGATTAGATGGATTAAGAATTACAATTGATGGCGATAATTGAAAAGAGTAGATGAACATCAGCTGGGGACGGAGTTGAAGAAGGAGGCCGATCTAGAGTGGAGTTCAAATTGTTAGTGACCCCAGATTATTGCGATAACGGGCGGATTGCCGCTTGTGACGTCGGATTGGTTCTCCGAACTGCCCACTGCCTCGGCTTGCCTTCTGGCTTCTGGGGTAGTTGCGATGGGTTAACTGAATTGGGTAATAACAAGCAACATTGCAATGAACCGAGGTGTTCTACTGTAACAACAATAGACCTTGATTAACTTGTCTCCTCAATCTGATTTCATATTGATCTATCTGTGTTGGCTTTCATATCGCTTACAATCTTTGCTTACGATTACCTGCTTGTGTTTACGCTTCCCCTAGATACAACATGTCAGAATCCGATGCCATAGATAACTTCCACAAAGCCATAAAGGAGGGCAGTCCTGAGGAAAAGGTCAGAGCATGGCTTCAACTCACACGCGATGAGAGCGGCCATTCCAAGCAAGGGGTAATTGTCTCTATCCACAATTATACATTGACTTTCTAACATTGATTCAGGACTGGATGAACACCCTCATTCCTCACCTTGAACTTGTCTCTAGCAGCGTCGAAGGGCCTCACCCATCATGTGTGTTCTCATACACAGTCCAGCCCGACAATTGCAATCGGCTACAAAACCTCCACGGTGGTTGCGCTGCTACTCTCTTTGACTGGTGCACGACGTTACCTGTTGCTCTGGTGAACAAGCCTGGTTTCTGGCAGCATTTGGGTGTAAGCCGAACACTCAACGTTACATATATGCGACCAGTTCCTGTTGGAACAGAAGTGCTCATTGAATGCTCGATTACTCAAATTGGGCGCAAGCTGGCGTCTCTCCATGGTTCTATGAGGAGGAGAAAGGATAACCTACTGCTCGCGACCGCCGAACATGGCAAAGTCAATATTGATGCCGACTTAGCTAAGATGTAAAGAGGACATGTTGATGGGGGGAGAAAGGGCTTAGACGATAGCGACAAGAGTTTAGACATCGGTTTTACTGTTTAGAATTTATATCGCATTCTTATTTCTATGCCATTGCCAACGGATGGTCACTTGTACCCACCGCGTAAGGGTGAAGCAAACATATTGACCACTTTCATGAATCACTCTTCTTCTGGAATGACCCCTACGAATAACCCATGAATAGGAAAACACCTTGACTATAGTAGATATATTCATACAACACTCGTTCATACTTTATTTGGTACTTATGGATCTTCTCCTCGGAGATATAGGGTAAGCGGCGTTCTGAGCGGGAATTATCCCCACACTGGAAGCTTAACTCCGAACAGGGCGCCGTCTCAGTGCCGCAGTGCATGCAGCAGGTACATCCAAAAGCGTACCTACCGTTATTAAGCTTCCCGTCCCATCGGCCTTCTATATCGTCATTACAATAAATAGCAGCCTCATTTGAGTCACCTCAACCCTATCAAAACCAACTCGTATCATATCGTAACAAGAGCCCAAGATCAAAGAATGGACCAACCACCTTCTGGTCAACCGATTCTGCAGCTCCCGACCGAGATCTTGCATCATATACTGCAATGGGTTGAACCGGCCGACTTAATGCGACTGCCCCGCGTCTGTTCCGCCTTCAAGAGTATAACAAACTCCAATAAGCTCTATCGCGATGTCTATCTAAACCAACTGGTATGACGACTCTACAGAATTAATGAGCGAGTGCTAATGAGTCAGGATGAACCAACCGACTCCAAGTTAGACTACGAGAAAGAGATTCGAGATTTGGTCAAACTCGAGAGAATATGTACCAGTGAAGAAGTGTACACCCACGTAAGATGAATCTCACTTCAAATCAAACACGACTTATACTGATAAGCGCATAGAAATCGCAACTTGATTTTGTTCACGATACTGTCATTCGTTTACTCAAGAACGCTTCTCCTTCTACAGACGACACTACCACCTTTTCTCAAACCCAGGCCCCGTCGCGCAATGCCGCTCGTCTTCAAGGCCTTTTCACCAAGAACGAAACAGTAGAGGCATTTCTGCAAGGCTCATCACTCTTCAACCGTCTGCGAGATGATGCTCGCCAAGTCAACCGAGATGGCACTTCTGCACCAACTTCAACAGACAATGCTCACCGTGCTCTTCAACAAAAGAGCGCCCATCTTCACTGCTTATACTCAAAACCGATTCTCAACGTTGGCCGCCTTCGTTCAACTAGAACATATCCTTTCGCTTGCTCAAAGGTTTACGATCTGCGTCAATATACCGAGAGAACGGGCTGGGGACCCTTCATGAACGATGGATCATTCAATATTGATTGGGAAAAGGTTGAAGCCATCCTCATCGTCCTAGGACATAACATCGGCTCAAGACGCCTAGTGGCACGCATATTCGGCGAGGTTTGGGACAGTCCGTTTTCGGGTTCATTTGCCAACAGTTTCATGGCCCCCCCACCTCGCGACATAACCTCACTCGAGGCCAGGGACCCTTATGGCGTCACAGGCACATGGTACCGCGTTCGTTGACCCCCAGTGATATTATCGTGTCAAACAGCCGTTTTGAGGTAACCAGGCTAACAGATAAGGTTCCAGATTGTTTGCTTTCTTGACTATAGCGACTTCTTCGCCTTCAACTTCGGTGATCGTGATCTCATCGCCCCTGATGCACCGCGACACACACTCGACGTGGGCGAAGCGACTCGTCTCATTATGATGCGTATCCATGTTACGTCTATAGAGGAACCAGGACCAGAAGATGGACAAGATCTGCCTGTTGTCCACTTCCAAGGCGTGTCTCGTTCTTTGGACGATTCCTTTGATAACAATGCAAATTCCGACATCCGAGGTAAGAAGATTTACACTAGTGGCATATTTGAGAAGAGTACAGTCAGAGCTAACACGACGCATTTGGCGTCAAAGGTACCGCTCGTCTAACGAAAGAAGGCGAAGTGAGATGGACGACATTCTCGGTTTTCCATGGTATCGAACGTTGGCGCAGTGAAGGTATCCAGATCGGCGGTGTCCGCTCCGCTCGTGGGGTTGTAGGAAATTGGTTTGATCGGTACGGGCTCACAAAATATCGGATGATAAAAGGCTAACAATATCTTCAGTGACTACGACGTTCACGGCCCTGCCGGACCCACGGCATTTTGGAAGGGTGCTACACTTGAGCAAGTCGCAAGCATGGAGGACGACCTACTACCTAACGATTTCTTCCTGCCGTACGGCGCACTGATCTACGACTCTGAAACTGATCCAGAAGGGGATATGCCATACAGCGGCGAGGATGACGAAGAAGAAGAGGAAGATGATGAGATGACAGGTTTAGCAGTGGCAGCGGAGCTGTCAGATCTCATTCAGGATGCAAGTCTTCCTTTGGAGGACAGTTTGGCAAACGGTCAGGCTTTGCACTAATGTTGCGTATACACTCAAGCCGGGAGCAGACGGTGTTTGGGATTTATGAAGTTTGATTACTCATAACTTAATACTTTGGGCTGGGTATGCTTTTGTTCCTAGCTTCGCATGTTACATGGGGGTTGTACTTGCATATCTGAAGCAAGGCACAGGATAGTCTTACGGGTACAATACTGGATCATGGTGCCCCCCAAGGTGGTATTGATATAGAAATTGTGAAACTGTTCAACGACTTGAGCTGATTCGGACACCAGTTAATATCAATTCATTTAGTGTAACTGCCGTACTAAGCCAACTAGAATTCGAGTGAACCACAGCAAGGGCACCATGATGATGAGTTTGTGACAAGATGGAAAACGTATTCCTGCGCATACTAAGGAGAACCAAATGCCTTGATTTGCTGTTTCCCTTTGATATCAGCTTGTCATCGACACAATCACTTCGGAACACCATCGCCCAACTGTTCCAAGATATTCTACCACAAAAACCTGCCGTGTAACAGAAGAACACGACGCAAATCTTCCAAAAACATGCTTGTATCCCTTCTTCGGCTCGGCGAGTTAATGCTACCTCAAGCAATCGCTTCGAAGCCCGAAGACGGATACCGACATGATTCAAACAACCTTGATAAACTACTTTATCTTCCTCTTTATTTTCGTGCCTATATACTCTGATTCGCGCCTGAATACTGATAGCAGCGCGAACTCTCGTATTTGGCGATCCACGACAAATTGCCTTCTTGTTTATGGGCGTGCCTAGGCTTTCGCATATTCAGCTTTACGGAAACAGACAATCAGTCATAGGAAAAGGCAAGGGGGTATAAATCTGGCCAGAATTCCTTTGCAGCCTGATCTCTTGATATATAGACTCATTCGCTATTAAACTTAACTTTGAACCGAACGACCCGCCTCAAAATCTCATGCAATAGAATCGACACGAAACACGCGAAGATTCAGACGGCAAGATGAAAATCTCGAGGAAGCAGCGGCTGATATTCACGATATGTATATCCTTCTCGTTCTTTGCCGCTGAACTGTCAGGTTAGTCTTTCCTCATAATGCTGCTGATGAGCTCAGATGCTGACACTAATATAGTTGGTTTCTACACGCACTCCATTGCACTCATCGCCGACGCCTTTCACTACGTCCGCTCAAATCCTCCATTCAAGATACCAGTTCATGTCTGACGAATAATAGCTCAGCGACCTGATAGGAATAATCGTCGCCCTGGTTGCGTTGATGGTGAGATAGCATGCTTCACCTCAGATGTTTGGTAGTTAATCAAGTTAGTTACAAGAGCGAGCGAAACCCGCACCGCAGGAGTATACATATGGTTGGCAACGAGCGACAATACTAGGTGCCTTCTTCAACGGCGTGTTTCTTCTGGCGCTGGGTGTCAGTATTATGGTGCAGGCCATCGAACGATTCGTGAACATCACTCGCGATAGTAAGTACTGGAGGGTAGAGTAATTGATCAGTACTGATGTTGAAATTGCTAGATGTGCACGTCGAAGAGCCGAAATGGATTCTTATAGTCGGTAGTGCCGGTCTAGCTCTGAATCTCTTGGTTCTATCTTTCCTTCATGGTGGGAAATATATCCCTCGGTGTTGAAATCTCTCGCTAATCTGTTACTGTAGAGCATGATCATGATCATGGCCACCATGGGCATGGACAGCATGGACACTGTGATGCGGAGCAACATCAAGATGCAGGGACAACTCGCGAGACGGCCAGTGTATGCGAAGCCCCTTTGACGCCTGTAGGTATTGCCTCAAGATACAAAGTATAAGTGTCGATGTTGACCATGACTTAGACCACAAGCAGCCACTATGAACACAAACACACGTCAGTAGTCATCAAGTCCCCTGGCCGAGACCTGGGTATGCTAGGCGTTTTTATTCATGTCTTGGGAGATGCCATCAACAACATTGGAGTCATCATCGCAGCGGTCGTCATCTGGAAAGTTGAAGGCGAAGGACGGTACTATGCAGACCCCGCAGTTGGAGTCTTCATCTCGATTATGATTCTTCTTTCAGCCATACCACTCGTCAAGAATAGCGGCGCTATTCTACTACAAACTACACCCAAAGGCATCAATCTTGAGGATGTCAAACATGACATTGAGAAGGTGACAGCGGATTCCCATCTACGATGACACTTACGCAAAAGTCTACAGTCATTTAACAAGCTCGCAGATAACCGGAGTCGAGTCGGTACACGAGCTGCATATCTGGCGACTGGATCAACGCAAATCTGTCGCCTCCGCCCACATCGTCGTCGTCGACAGAACCCTTGAGGGCTTTGCGGACAAGGCAAAGATCATCATGGAGTGTCTCCACGCCTACGGAGTTCACTCAGCAACCCTACAGCCTGAAGTCCTCGTCTCGAGCCCCGTGACCATGTCTGACAGCGGCCCAGAATCTCCGATAACATCGATCGACGCCAATCACAGAACACTCAGTGGTCGGCAACAACGAGGAGGCGAAAGGAACTGCCAATTAATTTGTGGAAGCTTGTGTGATGGGCTGAGGTGCTGTGCGTCGATATGAAGATCCAGTGATCAGTGATCGGCGGTCTCGACGTCGCCTACTGTTTCGTATGGGACCAGAGTGCTCGATGTGGAATGAAAGGACGACGATAGAGGAGCTGATGGGATAGAGGGGCTTGAGAGGGGTTGGACCCTGAAGACTCGACTGAAAGTTTGAAGTTGACGATTCTGTCATGCCGCGCTAAGAGAGAAGGGAAACCCCTGGAAGAAGTTATGCCAACCAAGTGTGATTCGGCTTTTGCCGTCGTGTAGGCAAGGCGTCAATAGTCAACTAGGCAAACAAAAGTCTTTGAGTAAAAATTATTAATTAGCCTAACTAACGGGTGAAGCCGGGGGAGGCGTCGAAGAAGCTGTAACATATTGCCTCAAAAACGGGGTGATTTGAGTTCCATTGTAAGATGAGGGGTTTACACTTGTAGACTCTTCTCATGATACAAGTCTTTATTAGAAAGCAAGTATTTCTGTCATGGAAGCATGTGCTACTGTTGTATCTGCTATCGTCAGCCGCAACCACATGTCGTGAATAAGGCAGTGCTGTGCATATTCTGGTATTCCCAAAGGATTGGACCCTTGATGATTGACAGTCAGCCTCATGATGGAATATGCACCAGTGGCACCACTCGTTCTGGACCCTTGAAGATGCGACGAGGTGCTAACCTCAGAAGGGAAAAGCCTGGGGGTCACGCATTAACAGATCTGAGGCCAACCATCACCCAAGCGCTGTAGCACGGTACATGGCGTACAAGCATGGAAAAGCCAAGAAGACCATGCCATGATGGTGGTAAACAGGGAGCGCGGTGAACGAGGGGCCTAGCGTTGCATCGAAGACAGGCAGCCAAATTAGTAATACTTACAGTACTTGTACTTGTAGAGTTGTAGAGGCGATGGCTGATGGATGCTTTGCTGTCACAAGTCAGCTGGTCATTTCAGTGAGACGGTCAAGGGACGGCCCGCCCATGACTAGTCTGCCCAGGTCAATAACAGAAGACGTCGAACAGTAATAAAGTACTGTTGTCAAAGAGGTGAGCTATTGCAACCCTTCCCCGTGACCCCAAGAGGTCTTCGTCAAGTAGCATTTGCCGGCAAAAGTATCCTATAATAGACAGTCTGTATATGGATGGCTGAATCTGTGCCATGTGATCAGACACGGTCAAGCAGCACAGCATTCTGTATGTGGCAGCTGTACGGATACAGCTGTCTCTGTCTCTTGCTGATGTGCTGCTGCCCTGCCAGTAATTTAACCAATGTCACACATCTGAAGCCGCTGATCCTGCCAGGCCTGCAACTGCAGCGCAACTCTGTGTGGGGGAATTGCCAAATTCCGATCGAGTATACCCTACCCTACCGTAACCCAGCAAGTGCAAATGCAAAACGTAAATCCGAGACGATGATCCGAATGCAATCTTTGCTTGGCCTTGCCCTGGGCCTTCAACCTTGACCACCCATCACCCGAACAGCTGGAGGAGAATGTAGCAGGGATTCTGGTTGGTGAAAGAGGTATTCGAGTACTCTGTACAGTGGGAAAAAGAGGTTCCTCGACCGAGATGTGATGTGACCTGTAACAAGAGCAAGGATGAGCAGAAAAAGCTCATGCGGACCGCTCCACGCGCGCGTGCCCGCAAAGAAATAATTTTTCAGAAAATGACAGCAAGGGTCTTTGTGAAGCAATTTCTGGTGATCTGTAGGTTAACTGGCTTGGGCAACTCGGAGTTGTCTCTGCTTCGGCAAATGTTAGTACTGCGGGACTAGACTGTGGGTTAGGGGCGGTCGGTTGGCAAGTGGCCGTTGCTGCGTGAGAGGATCCTTGTTTCTTTTTTTTTCTGCAGCTCATCTGTCACAGCAGGCAGCCTAAAAGCATAGCTTAGCTGATGGGCAGTAACAAAATCTTGGGCGGTGAGACGAGGCGTTGTAAAGGACGATAGAGGAGGGTCGAGGATGAAGGTGGAGAGACGAGACTTTGTGGTGGAGTTTGTGGAGGTTTCAAAACCCACACGTGATGAACGCCATGGCAGTAATGGAATTGTTCGATTGGTGACTGGAACTTGTAAGCAGTTCCAAAGGATATAGGAAAAATGATATATCGAATCCCAAATCTTTGGTAGAAACTCAATTACGTTGCAAGACAATGGTAGTAAGTATGCACTTGAAAAAGGGAGTTGACAAAGCAACCTACTACTCGAGTCGAGAGAAAACTACATGCCCAGAAGATGATAACAACTAAAACACCAGCCACGATAGTCAACATACTAACAATGCAGCTATTCATACTAAGACTAGACACAGACATACGTAGCCGCTGGATCATCCAGACCGGCATTTACATCTCGCAGTAGGATCAGATAGGAACTCAGATCGTAGCACGATAGTAGGCTGGAGGCATCTTGTGGCCGCATATTGTTAACCGCTTGCAGCTGCAGCCATCGAGCAGGAAGCTCAAAAGGGACGGACAACGAATCTGAATCTTGTTTATATATGCGAATAGCCTAGAAGGGGTACCCTTTACGTTGACAGCTCAGAGATATATACCAACGCCAGCGTCATTCCCGTGCATCTTGTTCATTATAATACCTGTCTTGAGGTCATTAGCTATGTATATGATCTACAATAATTACCTGCGATAAACCGCAGTAGCTGCACAGGCCCGGAGTCCGGGCAGAAGTTCCTCTTCACCGACAGGAAGGCGAGAGATAGGCAAGATAGGTACTGAGCATTTGGGGACTGTAAACTCCCGTCTCAGTGCCAGGTGCCTTTTCCCGCGGACAACAACACGCGGATAGAGGTAGTCTAGGTGGTTGCAGTGGCCCGCTTACGGGATGAAGATCGACAGTCCAGACCTCGTGTGAGTGCTGGGTCTTGTCTGGGCATTCATTGCTTTGACCTGGCCTATGTAGCTTGACTTGCAGTATAGCTTCAATAGCCGAGTCTCCAATTTGATTGCTAAAGCTGTCGAGGTTATTGTATGAGTCATTGCAATTGCAATGGTCTGAAGTTGGGCATACATACAATGCACTATACGGTACAGCAAGTTAAGGTGCCTGTAGATCCCTAATTGAGGGGAAAGACAGAAGGCTAGGTGCTTATCGCGGGGCATTTCTTGGTGTAACCCCGCGAGGCAAAAACCATCTGTCCAATTGAAGTCAACTCTTTTTGTTTTCCATGGACCTATTTTATGTGCAAGCGGCCGTTAGGGTCGAGGCCTCAGACATGGACACTAACATGATGTCGGTTAGTTATTCCACCTAGTTGCCTTACAGACTACAGCCATTGATTACCTTGGTAAAGGGTTTTAAACCGAGGTCTTGAGCCGAGGTCAATGAGAGTCTAGAATATACAGCATACTAACTAGAGGAATGACATTCAATCCGATAGTCTAGAAGAATACAGATAGACACATGACTCTTAACTTGACTCCTAAGGCTCAGGATATCTGGATTATTACCAAGCATTGGCTCGGGCCATCGGGAGCCTCGTTGATCGAAAAGCCCGATACGATATTTAACGAGGAACTAAGGAATAGGCGAGAGTGTCTTGCGTAATTCTCTTGTTTACTACAGGTCCATGTCTGGCATGGCGACATGTCTTGGCAGAATGTCATCCAATGTCATGTAAAAGGGGCATTTCCATTTCCATATCTCGACAGAACGAGTCAAGTTGGTCACATCGTGATGGAGATGGCTCATGAGTCGAGCCCGAGTTATCCGTAGTGAAGGAGTATTTCGTTACGTACAGTTTGTATAGAATATACGAATACAGATGACGGAGTTGCCGGGAGGCTTGAGCCTTTCCCCTTTCCCCTCTGCCTCTATTGTTTCTTATCAAATACTTTGCAATAAATTACTCATGCTGTCACGGCAGTTGAAGGACTAAGAATTTAGTGGGAAAGAAAAAGAAGAAGAAAAAGTAAAAAAGACCTCTTATCATCACACCACCAAATTCTCTCGGAGCCGACTTTTTGTTGTTGTACTGACACTAAAACTCAAGTCAAGTAAAAAGTACGTACAACGCACAGCACCAACACACCAAAAGACCTCAAGCTGCATGTGCTGGGATGCTACCGCATGTACAATAGCGTCATGCGTACGGCGCACGTTTACTAGAACCAATAGAAGCACAAGCTATGCAAAGGTTCAAGGCAAGAGGCCGATAGCGGCTTTACATTTGCGTGCGTTGGTGTTGGTGATGGCATTGTGATGATGACGAGCAAAAGACACGATGAGACTACGGATACTGTCAAGGACAAGGAGAGTAACTGCCGTATAGCTTCTGCTTCATCAGAAAAACTGTTGAGCTGCGATGCTACTGTACGCGATCGATATCAGTTATTCTGACGGTACATTGTACAGTATGTTCTCACCGGTCAAAGCCTTATCACTCATCCATGCAACACGAGCTTTAATTCGCCTATCAATCTTCAACTCAGGTACGTATTTAATGGTCGCTCATGTATAAGCCCGTCAAAGTAAAGTAGAGCAAAGCAACGCACGAGACAACAACAGAACAAAAAGACAAGGTGTTGTTGTTAATTGCGGTACCGTCAAGTTCCCATGGCGTTCTTTAGCCGACTACTGTAACTGCGCTACTCAAGGCTTGGCCCTGTCTTCGGCACC